AATTTTACCAGTTTTCAGGTAAATTATTGTTATTATAATTTATATATATATATATATATATATATATATATATATATATATATATATATATATATATATATATATATATACATATATATGTATATATATATATATATATATATATATATATATATATATATATATATATATATATATATATATATATATATATATATATATATATATATATATATATATATATATATTAAAATCCATTAATACTACTGTTTTTTTTTAAAATTATAACATTTGCAGCCATAATTTGGTTTTACTAATAATTTTACTTGCACAGAAACTGAAATTGATGTCGATAAATTAAAATGTTTAAAATACATTATAATAAAATGAACAACTTAAAAATTTGTTTGAATTCACTAAAAACTGTATGGACCGCATATGCTCTCTTAAAAACGACAACAGGTTTACATGGGTAAAATTAATTTAAATAAACAACAATTAAAACAACTATATTATTTGTTTATCCACTGCCATTTAAATTATGCAAGTATTGTATGTGGAAGCGCGCACAAAACTAAACTTAAACCTTTTTATCAGCATCAGAAACACGCAGCTCGCTTAATTCCAACCTATTACTGAGAGAAATGAAAGCCTTAAATGTATACGAACCAAATGTTTATAATATTTTATGTTTTATGTTTAAATGTAAAAATCATTTATCTCCTGATGTATTTATAAACCTTTATAATGTTAAACCCATAAACAAATACATTCTTCGCAATGGAAAAAATCAACAAGAACCTTTCTGCCAAAATAAATTTGAACAGCTAATTATTTCTTATCGCAGTCTTTATTTATGGAATGAATAGAAAAGAAAAGTGGGCACCAATATCTGAGCATGAAATAAATGGGTTCATAGTTTTTTTATTTTTGGCAGGTGTTTACCGATCAGCAGGTGAAGCTACAGAGGAGCTTTGGGACAAAAGTTTTGGTCTGCAGATTTTTTGTGCTTTAAGTCGTGAGTTTTTTATACCATTTCAAGAGTTTTGAGAATTGACTCAACTATTAAAACGCAGAAATAAAAGTTTGCACCTATTTGTGAGGTTTTTGGTATTTGGGTACAGACACTTTAAAATAGTTTTAGACCATATTAAAATGTTACTATTAATGACCAGATGTTGTTCGTTTAAACAATATGTAACAAAAATAAAATAAAAATTTTTACAGAATTTTTACCTACCCAAACACGAGAAGTATACTATTTAGTGTTTGGTCACCACGAACAATTAACTTTAGTCTTATATGCCCCAAAGAAAGGAAAGCCAGTCATTCTACTGAGTAGCAATCATCGTGACGCAGAGTTATCGAACCGTCTAGACAAAAAAACCACAGATAATTCAGGACTATAATTCAACAAAAGGGAGAGGAGATACTCTTGACCAAATGGTCTCTACTTTTTTTACAAAAAGAATCACCCACAGGTAGTTAAAAATATAGCAATACACAATAAGAGTTCATGAAATCTATTATTTGTTACTCTGTTTTTTATAATTCAGGTGACCTATGTTAACCTTTTACAACATTCTAGTCATTTCAATTGATAATGCTTTTTTAATTTGGATGCATATAAATCCTACTTGGAATAAACAGAAACCTTATAGCAGAATGTTTTTTTAAAAAGTACTCGATAAATTTATCTTAGCAAACCAACTCCAGTCAAGACTAATACTTCCAAATTTGTCTTTAAAGTTAAACGATTCTGTTCGTGAGTCACTTGCAAATATTTTATCACAAAATGTTGAATTAAGTTCGTCAATCTCGTTCAACAATACACAAAATAACACAAAAGTAGCAATGATGACAAAAAAGAAATAAATGATAGTAATCTTGGTTTAAAAAAAAAACGAGGTAAATGCAAGCTTTATGTTAGATCACCTGATAAAAAAGATTGAAGTATTTGTGATATATGTAACAATTTTGTTTGCTGTGCACACAGCAAAATTTTTTGTATATATATATATATATATAATATATATATATATATATATATATATATATATATATATATATATATATGTATATATATATATATATATATATATATATATATATATATATATATATATATATATATATATATATATATATATATATACATATATATATATATATTTTAAACAAAAATAACTAATAAAAAAAACTGATGAAAACTCCTAAGGTTATTATTGTTCTACATGTAACAAAGAAAGTATCCATATCGAAAGTTTTATTCTTGGTCTTCAGGATACTGAAAAATAAAGCTTCAAAGTTAAATATGTCATCATAGGCGCCTTTCCCCTATTTTCTTTTATTTATAAATTGGTTTTATTAGTTTTTATTTTATAAATTTTATTAGTTTTTATTTATAAATTGGTTTTATTCTCCTTTTTTTAATATTTTCTCTGATTATAACGGTATCAAATTTTAATTGAAAAGTATATATAGTCAAATATAGCTTTATTTAAAATGAATTTTAAGAAACAAATATTACATAAAATATCTTTTTTTACTTGTTACTATAAAAAATAATATCTTTTATCGATTAAAAACTGTTGTTAAAAACTATTTTCAAAAATCTTTTAGTTATTATTTTATTTTATTTTTATGAAAATAAATGTTTATTTGCTGCTCTGCAGTAAATATCCACAATTGTGTGCAAAACTGATTAACATACACCCTAGCAACAGGAACTAAGATAAACGTAAACAAGCGCTATGTAAAAACAGAAATGAAATCAAAGAAAATCATCTAAATTTCTCTCGGAAAGATAATTTATTCAAAAGTTTAGGTGTCGCCTTCTCCAACACAAACTTGATACAGGATTTTTTTTTCGATTTAATTAATGAGTGCATTAATAAAATCGAAAAAATATATATATATATTTTAAATTATCAGCAGCATTTATCATTTTGCTTTTACAGTTCCATTGCATTTAAAAAAAAAAATCTATAAAAAGATTAACTGGAAAATGGGATAACACATGAAAAAAAAAAATCTCTAAACTTTTTCTTAAAAAATTTCAATATTATTGACATTCAAAAAAATTATGTCAGCTGGATCTCAAAACATTTTGATCGACAAAACAATGGAGTCTGGAAAGATGCGGTCTTATATCTTAAGTAATTATAGAAAAGCATACAAAGGAAACCAAGTCTTCTTTAAAAGCCATTTGAATAATTCTTTAAAAACTCAAACCTAGTTTTATCGTCAACTGTTTAAAAACTGGAACAGCATATATTGCCAAAAAACAACTTTACTAAAATGTCATATAAAAAAATTGATAAGCCAACCCATATATTATAACCCTTTCATAAAGCACTTTAACACCTTCCTAAAACCAACATCAGATTCAGAGAAAAACAAAATAAATAATTTAGAATACATTTCTAAAGTGTTTGTATCAGGATTTCTTGACTACCAACTAGTCGGTATAAAACCTCAACAACATTTGAAAATTATAAACTCGTTACCGCCGCAACGGAAACTAAAAATCAACACTTAAAGTTAAAAATATGACCACAACAAAACCATACCAATTCTATATTCAAAAAACAACTGTCCTATCCAAATCACTGAACTTACGCCAAAAGTACTATATAAAATCTTGCATTCCCAAAAATATGATAAAATTACTGTAAACAACTCGAAATTGGAGACATTTTAAAAACAGTATGAGTAATATCACAGATAAAAAATGGTTCAAATTATTTATAACAACACACAAAAACAGCACAAACAATAAAGAAGATGAAACACAATACAAATTAATACATTTCAAACTACCAACAAATCAAACCATTAAAAAAGAGGATATACATTCGATGAACTCTGCCTCATATGCATTAAGACTAAAGAAAGCTTGCCACACGTGATATGCATATGCAAAAAGGTTCTCTAAAAATAATACTCTACTGCACTCATTAACATAATCTACCCATAATTTTTTTTTTTGCAATAATATATATATATATATATATATATATATATATATATATATATATATATATATATATATATATATATATATATATATATATATATATATATATATATATATATATATATATATATATATATATAATATATCATATATATAATATATCATATATATAATATATTATATATATATAATATATAACAATATATTTTATATAAACACCTGTTTAATATTCGGTTCCATGAAAAAGAAAAAGTTTACAAGGGTTGCGCTTTTGGTAGAATTCCAAAAAAGAATTAAAAAAATACTGAATAAGGAATACCAAATTGCAAGAGAAAACGGTAAGTTAGAAACATTTCTAAAAGAAACTAAACAAATCTTATGAAATGGAAATAACAGTCTAAAAATAGAAATAGATATTAGTCATTTTTTAAAATGAAATGCCCAGATTCATTTTTGAAGCTGTTAAACTCTTCTTTATTTCACATTTTTAAATATTTTTTTTGTTTTGGATTTTTCTTTCTTTTTCGTTTTTTTTTTTTTTTTCTCGATATTTTATGTTTTTAACAATTGAGCAGTAAATAAAAATTTTAAAAAGTAATATACAAAACAACTAGTATATTCATTATTAATATCTATGCAAGGCATTGGCCGGAGGAGAGAAATAGACTACAATACTGTATTAAAATATACCATTGGGTATAGTATCCATTTAGCCTGAATAAGAAATACAGATCAATACTAAAAATATGTCCGTATAAAAACTTGTGAAACTACGACATTTAGACAACATTTGGAAACTTTGGATTTTCATCAATATTTTTACAGCTTACATTATGTTTAAAAGGTTTGGCGGTTAGAGGAGTTATAAAGAATTTGTCATCAAAACAATAAACAAATTGAAATTATAAAACAGATTCAATATGTATTTAAGTAATTCATTTCGATATTTATTGATAAATTATTTAAAAATATATTAATGCAAAAATAAAACCATATTAAGAAATGATTATTCTGTATATTTGTAAACATTACGAAGATCGAACGAATTGAACATAAAACAAAAACTGTTTTTTTAAAAATACTTCAGAAATACTAAATGCTATTTGTAAGTCTATTTATCATGTTTAAATCAATAAGAATATTTGAATCTTTATAACTTTCAGATTTCAAGTTTTAGCAACTTCATTTGAAATTTAGTTTTTTTATTTTAGCCTTTTGTAAATTAAAATCTATAGAAGTAAGAATAATAATAACAATTTATATACTTTTATTTTGTTGTTATTGTGGTTATTAAGGTGCTTCAAAAACTTATTATAGACTGTGACTTACACCGTAACTTATATCGTGACTACGCACTTCTCTTAGAGCACCGTGACTTACACCATGACTACGTACTTAACATAGAGCACCTTTGAAGAACATTTAACTAGAACGCCTTCTTCTTTACCGATTTGACTTATTTGGCCAGAGCTGAAAATGAACTTGGTAATAAACTATATATTTTATTTAATTCTATTTTAATTAATATAGGTTACTCAACTTTACTCACTCTATTTCACTCAAAAACATATTTTCTCTAGTTAAAACCTACTGTGACTAATATTTACTTAAAATATTTAAATTAATAAAATTGTCAAGAAAATTTAATAATTTGGTATTGTTATATTAAACTTTTTGTGATATTAAATTTGGTATTATTAATAATAATATTAAATCTTGTTTTTATTATTTATTCAACATTTTTTTTACTATTATAATGTAGTTGTTACTATTGTGATGTATTTATTACAATTACGATGTAGTTATTAATATTTATTGTTATTATGATGCAAACTCTGCGTAATTTATTATTCTACAGGGGAGGATCTAGAAATAATATTTAATATTTAAGTAACTACTGATATTTAAAAATACAATTAAATAGCAGTTTGCGTAAATTTATTTTGGTATAAGAGATTGCGTAATTTAAAACAATTAACTTATATAAGTTTTTACAAAAATAATTTTATATCTTGGAATATTATTGCTAAAAAAAAAAAAAGAAAAAAAGCAAATAGATTTTTTAGTTTCTTTATCTGTACATTTGTAACAAAAAGAGCAAACTGTACAGCGATTTTTAAACGAAATTTTTTTTTTCGCAATTTTTTTAAATTTTGTCTTTTACGTCCAAAACAGTTCAGTTTTTTTGTATTGGATCTAGTATATTTATGATAATAATTGAATTTATAACATTGCAATTTTGTTAAGGCATGTCGTTATACAAATATCCAAGTTTTTTTAGCAAGCGATATTGTTACGATACACCCATAGCTAAAAATCGTATGTATTTAGCTAGTTACAACATAACAACAAATAAAAAGGTGTGATATGTATACATATCACACCTTTTTAGCCTACCTAATTTACCGCCGTTTTTAAACAGCATACTGAGTTAAATCAAGGAGGTATAATAGACTGGAGGGAGAACGAAGTTAAAATACGTCATTTCTCAAAGAACAGCCTTAGTAGTAACATTATTTTCTATTAAACACCGCGTAATTATAATAATTGAAAGTTAACTAATCACTACAAAAATACTACAGCACAAAATAAAATCCCGGAGAGATATAATAAGTTTCTTGCCGAAAAAACTTTGTTTAAGATTATAGCAAATCTAAACGGCAAAGCAAAAGATTCAATTAGTAGAGATAGTAGAGAAAGTCAAAAACTTTGATATTTATACCTAGTATCGAGGTTTTCAAAAACTGATTACTTTAAGTAGATTATGATTTTTGTTGTGATTACTACTTGATAGTTGGAACAGTTGTTAAAAACTTATCCAGTCAACTTTTAATAGAGTAACCCATTTTGATTATTGCTTACAAAGGTTACAAACTACATTTTAAAATTTTCTTTTTTCTATGCAAAGGCGCCGCTGAAATAGTTATACAATTAAGACTGTAATACGATTTTAAACGATTTTTGACTTCTTTCTCCCTTCTTTCTGTTCTAACTCCTTAGTTAAATATATAGATTTACAAATAAAACATTTTTCGAAATATTTAAGTGAAATAAAATACAAAATATCTTGAAAATATTTTTATTACGATTTTAAAGTGATTTGGCAATCGTCGTCATAATCATTACAACTATCGTCATAATCATTACAACTATTGCTAGCTATTCGCTTATTTGTAGCATGAGTATTTGGTTCGCAAAAATGTTGGTCAATAACAGATGCTACATTGGTTTAGTCTTTGTGAGAATTTGTGGCAGTTCCTATGTTATATCTTCAGATATAAGAACATTGTATAGCAAAATATAGGATGAAATTTAAATAAATTTGAAATAAAAATAATAGTAAAATGAAACGATCATAAAGTATCAAAATTAAGTTTAAGTTTCTAAGTAGATGTATTAGGATTTTTAACTGTACGCTATAAAATAGTTCAAAATTTTTTTAGGTCATATAGATGTGGCTAATAAGAAATATAAAGTGTTTTATTTCACTTTATATATTTATATACACTTCGAATAAATATATGGTCCAGATATTTTTTTTATATTTAAAATAAATCTTCATTCAAAAGCTAATGTAGCTTAAGGTGGTACAATGTAGGTGCTAATGTAGCTTAAGGTGGTACAATGTAGGCGCTAATGTAGCTTAAGGTGGTACAATGTAGGTGCTAATATCGCTTAAGGTGGTACAATGTAGGTGCTAATGTAGCTTAAGGTGGTGCAAGTACTATTTTTTCTCTGATTCTTTTTTAAATAAGTTATTATCACATTTGATGTAATATCTTTTGAGAAATACAGTTTTTAAGTTATTTTTTGAATATTGATAATTTAATTAATGTTTTAGGGGCTATTTATGTGAATCGGTTTTGCCCGGTTGGCGCAGACTGACTAAAAATATACTAAAATAAAATATTAAATGTTTATACTGGATTTTAATCTAAACTTGAATTACGCAGTTTTAGTTTTATTAATAATCAGCCAATTCATCCAATCCAATCATATTTTATCCAATCCAATTTATTGGTCGGGCTAATATTTGTTCGCCAATTTAAAGACCAAATTTAAAAAAAATTGAATTAGTTATAAATGTTTTAAATGGTATGGTCTGGAAAAAATATTATATGGAGGTTTTTTTATTGACAAAACCTCTTGAAATAGATATTTCTGCGGTGCGAAAATACTTTAATGTCTCTTATACTTTAATGTCTCTGCATAAGTTTACAACTCAGGTACGCTATAGAATTTTATTTTTGATTCCGGTCGAAACTGCAAAATTGACTAACAGTGGATATTCGATCGCTGCTTACGGTTAAAAATCTCATTAGCGCACATTGTATGAATCATTCGGCCAAGTTTTTTTTTCATTTTGTCTTAAAACTGTTTTTTAAATTTTTTTAATCTGTAAAATTGTGCTTTTCACTCAATAGCTTTTTTTTTTAGTTTTTTTCTTTGCTATATTCACTATATATTTAAGGTTTCTGTTGACTTTCTATTTTTATTAATTTCCATTCTAAAATAAAATAAATTGAACCATAAAAATAAAAAATAAATTAAAATGATGTATTGCGACATTTTAAGTAATTTTAAAAAAAACTTCGGACAAAATAAAGTGTGTTTCTGGAACAAATACTATTACACATTTAAATTTTTTAAGTTAGTAAAACCATCAATATAATGAAATAATTTCACATTATAAATCGCATCAATACCTTTTCAACCAATTGCATCAATACCTTTCCCACAAATCCCATCAATAATTTTCAAAAATGTGTTCACTAATTACAACCAGTAGCGTTGCGACAAAATATTGCCCCCTCCTCCTTACCCCGCAAAAATTTATTTTAGGCACTAAATTAGTGGTCGTCCATAAAGTACGTACGCTCGGAGAAGAAGAGGGGGTGAACAAATGGCATTTCTGAGATAAGGAGGCAGTAGGTCAATTATGAAAGTATGGAGACACTAAATTAAAAAAATACCATAAAATGTAAGGTTGGAAGGTTAAACGCTTAGATACTTTTAGAGAGTAATCAAAAAAGAGTATGGCAACTTGCGGAGGGGGGGGGGGCGAAAGGGGTTGCGAAAAAAAAGCGTACGTACTTTATGGACGACCCCTTACTTATCTGTCATTCCTTCTTCACCCTTCCCCGCTGCTTTTACCCTCCTTCTTAACATAAAAGTTATATATAGAAACAAAAAACCATATTCTAAAATCAAAAACCAATATCTTAAAGTATTTTAGTATTGCATGTAGTATTGTATTGTATTCTAATGTTTTTTTCAAGCTGCAAATAAGTTTAATACATCCTTTAAATCTAATTGAGCTGTTTCTTCTGCTTTAATAACTAATAGACTTAAAGCAGGTATACGGTCTTGTGCGATCATTGTCCTTGAATGCGTTTATATTCTTTTTAATGTCCTAAAAGATCTTTATGCAGTTGCCACGCTAACGGGTGATGCCAAATATAGCATTAGTGCTGCGAATATTTCAATTTCAACTTATATCACAATACTTTATTATTATTAATTTGAATAAATCCAAAATACTCATCACATCTTTAATCTCCATTTTGGCATGTTTAAATATTTCTTCAGAATCTAATAATATTATATTTTTGAGATTTAAAAATGAAAAATAGCTATTTACTGTTTTTAGAAACATGAAACGAGAATCTATCTGATTTATAACTATATCTATAACTGTGTTAAATGCATCAATTTTAAATTGATGTTCAGCTGTTTCAAAACGAAAATCTAAACAACTTCATCAAACAGTTTTTTTGTTCATTTCATTCGTGTTTGTTTTAAAGTTGGAGTAATACTCCACTTTATAGCATTTGCTTTTGCAAAAGCATTTGCTTTTGCAAGAATATCATCAAAATTATAACGCAGTGATTTTATTTCTTTTATTCCAGTTTCTAATAATAAACAAACTTTATCCAAATCCATATTTTTATAAAAAATTTAATAACAATTTTAAAATGATATTTAATGGTGTTAATATTTCAATAACTGACACCAAAATACAAAAAAAATCTAAACAATCCATTTTCTTTCTTAAACCGGTCGCTTGTGCAATTTCTGTTTTTTTATTGCTTTCCAAATAATATTAGATAAAGCTTTCATTATATATACTTATCTATGTGTTATGGCAATACAAGATGGTAAACGAGGCGCCCAATGTGTAGGATTTAGTTTTTTTTAACGTTACTTCTGATTTTACTGTTATTTTTGATATGTCCCAACTATTTATGCTAATACCAAAAAACATATATATTTCTTGTATACTTGAAAAAAAGTTGCATATATCTGGAACCCCATTCATAGCATCATTTATAACTAAATTTAAATTGTGGGCCGCACAATGAATAAATGTTACGTTACCCAGAGTAAATGCCACTCATGTTTCTTTCCCAATCTTAACCTTGTCCTCCAAACAAGACCAAATGATTTTAGTATATGAATGGTTTGATTTAATATTGCACTTGCTGATTGATTGTTAACTTTAAAAAAACCCTATAAATTTTTCTTCAATTTTTATTAGGAGAGAAAATCCATTTATGTTATAACAAATTTTAACAAATTGAAAGGAAATACTAAGTTGATCTGTTTTAAATAAATCTTGCTTGTATCAATAATCATTAAAAAAAAGATGCTAATTTGATTTCATTGATAATTTTTCTTTTTAAATTTTTTGACAAAAGACAAATAATAAACAAATAAGTAATTTTTTAATAGTAATTTATGGAGAAAAAACGATTTTCATTATCTTTAGGAAAAGGTCCTTTAGGATAACAATGACCGAATGATAAAATAGATTTTTTTTCTTCTAGCTTTATAACACCTTTAAAATTTGCAAAATCAGAAGGGTTTTGCTCACAACTAATTTCAGATAAATTATATATTTTTTTAACTTCTGCTTTTTTTAGCGGTACTTTAGTTGTATTTGACTTATTCGATATATCTTTTTCAGAATTCTTTTCGGTCGTACTGGCACTTTCATCTACCAATTTAATAATATTTTGTGTTCGAAGTTGAAGGAAAAAAAGATGTGAGCCTTGATATCTTTAGCAGCTGTTTTCTAAATTTTATTTAGCTGTATCTTTATTTTTTCTCTTTCTGAAACCACTTGATAAACTTTTTTCTTCTTTTTTCTTGTTATTCATTTTCACAATTGTCTTTTATTAAAGAAAATAAATAAAGTTTTTTATATAAATAAAAAGACATTAAAAAAATAATAATAATAAAATCAAAACACTTACTCTTTCGAATATTCTGACGACTACATTTTTTAGTTTTTTTTTTTCTTTCTCAAAGTTGCTTTTTTACTTAAGCGGTTGAGCCAATTGCAATTGTTTTTTAACATTTTCTCAAACTTTCTTTTGAACAGCCGTCGTTACTACAACAATGAATGATGATTACAGGCGGTTTACTAGCTTCTGGTGCTGGTTGTGCTTGCATAGATTTACTAGCTACTGGTGCTGGTTGTACTTGCATAGATTTACTAGCTACTGGTGCTAGTTGTAGTTGCATAGATTTACTAGCTACTGGTGCTGGTTGTACTTGGATAGATTTACTAGCTACTGGTGCTAGTTGTAATTGCATAGATTTACTAGCTACTGGTGCTGGTTGTACTTGCATAGATTTACTAGCTACTGGTGCTGATTGTACTTGCATAGATTTTGGTGGTTGAGATAATGGTGTTTCAAAAGTATTAGCAATTTGTAATTTTTACTGATTGATTTTATTGATGTCGAGTGACCGGATGTTGATTTTTATTTTTAGTAAACTGGTAACAATTTCCTTAGAGTTATTTAATTTGATTATTGTAGATTTTGTTTCAATATAGGGGAGAGTGGGGCACTGCGAAACATTGTAATCATATAGGCATCTTAAGAGCTGTGACAACCACTTTTATATGGTGGGACAGTTACTACTAGAGATAAGTTTTGAAAAAAATATTATATCATTAGATATCATTTGGCTGCAAGTGTTTGGGAATTTTTAGTTTTTTTTTTTGTTTTTTTTGATAAAAAAATAACTTATTAATTTACTAAAGTTACAAAGTTTTAAGAATTTTCCATAAGCTCTTTACTTCATTAAACGAAACAATTGAAAAAAACAAGTAGATATTAAAAATAAAGCGATTGTTTTCTATTAGCAAGTATGGGGTAATTTGATATAATATTTGTTGGGTAGTCCTAAAACTGTAGAATAGTACTCCATTGTTTCATAGAGTGCTCGATTGTGTCATAGAGTACTCCATTGTTTCATGAACAATCCTAAAAATCATTCATTTTAATATTTACAGTCAATTTTTAACTGGTTTATATAAATATATTACTAGGAGATCCAATTTTAATAAAAATCCATTATTTATTGACGTTAAAGAATATCATTTAAAATGATATACTATCTGAATTTCTGAAAATGTGATTCGGGTGCATTAGTTGGGAATTATTAATTTATTTGTCTTTAAAGTAAAAATCTTCAAGTTTTGTACTTTTTATTTACTTTTTTAATAATACTCATAGGTTCAATCAAGTTACCCCATGGGTTGGGCGGGGTATCTGGAAATAAATTTCTAATTTTACTTTAAATAGTCTCACAAGACTGGTAATTAATAAATTTCATTTTGTAGGTATAAATGTAATCTACAAACTAAAACAAGCGCCTTAAAAAAGGCGTATTAAAAAAAATTGTTACAAACTAAAAATCAAAAGTGTCATTATGGTGCCCCATTCTTCCATAGTTTATTTTAAATCAAGTGCATATTCACGTTTATTCTAAAAATAAACGCATAGGAATTCCTACATTGATTGTTCACTCTTTTCACTCATTAAAATTTTTGAGACTCAACTCTTTTTTTTTTTTTTTTTTGTTACAGAGCACCGCGGAAAAGCATTTACATTGGAAGTTCACGCCTCCTTCATTACCGATATCGCTAAATATGTCTAGAGTTTTCTTCAAACCCTGAACCTTTTGCTTATAAAACTACTCTTGCTTATAAACCACTACGCCACGGCCGCACAACTGTAGTCCTAATCTAATAAGACGGAGTTTTAAGTTGTTGTTTGTTTTATTTAACTTCAAGTTATGCCAAGGTTGTTAGCTTACTGCAGATGTAAGTTTTGTAGGAAGACAAATATCTTTGGAAAAAATCTTAAACTGGGTTTTACTTCGAGATATTTGTTTTTCTACTATACATGGAATGCACATTGCATAAATATTATAAACACGATAACATATGTCGAATAATATTTAGAACATTACCATATAAGTTAAGTTACTCAACGAATTGGTAACACCGATTCCTATTTTTTTACGCAATTTCTTGTAATTTCACGTAATGTTTTTGTGGTAACTTATTCTTTAAAAATATTTTTTATTGTATGAAGTAAAATATGGCCTTCAAATATAATATTTTCAAATGCGTTCGTGAAGCGGATAATTAAATCAAATTTGAAACGACAAACAAGGTTTGGTTTTGAAAAACAAGTTTTATATAGTTTGAGACCTTTATACAATATTAAGGCAAATTTAAGATTTCCGAAATAAAAGTAAATGTAAAGGCAAGATCTAAGCCAAGATTTTAGGGTTCTTGTTCCCATTCTCCAATCACAATAATTTTTTTTGTGAAGAATTTTTTTGTCATACATAAAAAACGTACGTAAACGAAAGTAAAAAAATTTGGAATATTATTTTTTGTTTAAAAGTTGGTTATTTCAAACATTTAAAAACCTTCCTACGCCAGTGTGCAAACTGATATATAAATTATCAAATATTATACAACTTTAAATATTAAATTCTTGAAAGATTTATTTAAGCCTAATAGCAACTCGAAACCACAAAACAAAGAATCAAAAGCAGAAATTATATTTTTAAAAAAATCGTCTTTCATAAACATGAATTCAAATACAACAATTTAATGACTATTCTATCGAGTTTATTTATAGAAACGATAAAGTCTTTAACAATTGCGGCATTATTACTTTTATTATAAGTTTAATTGCAAAATATTTTTCTATAGATATTTAAAAAACAGAATTTTTATAAATATTTTTAAATTTTTTATAAAAATCTTTAATAAGAGGCGTAACAAAAACAAAAAGTTTAAATATCATCTCCCCCCCCCCCTCTAGCCCACTTGTCTACTGTCATTTTAAGTAATAGTGTTAACAAGTTTGAGCAGCCTCGGTGGTGCATTGTTTAAAACGCATGCTTCAAAAACAAGAAAACATAGGCTTGATGTCTGTTCTGGCCATATATCTGACATCAGTAAGATGATTAGCAACCTAGTTAAATGCTCTTCCACGGTACTCTGTGACAAGACCGTTAGGTCTTTTTTAAATTCCTTATTGATTAAAAAAAATTAACATTTCCATGTATAGTGTAAGCAACACTACAGTGCATGGTTTAAGTAATACTATCGTGTTTGGTGTAATTGATACACCTGTGTACAGTGTAAAGAGTATTCCCATGCATGGTATAACAGTTGTAAAAAGTGCTATAGACATAGTAAAGCATGATTGGTATGGTTGGTGGATGGACAGGTAAAACATGGTTGGGTAAAAAATAATAAACCTTGAAAGAGAAAACATTTAAATATGAAAAAGCTTAAATTAAAAATAAGAAAGAATATTCATAAATATACAGAAATATTTATAGATATATAAAGCATATCAATAAATATACAAGGCTTTATATATTAAGAAATAACATTTTATTTTATTTATATATTTTTTTTGATTTTATAAAAAAAAAAATTGTTGATTAGTTTGATGTTTTATTTTTAGATTTGATGATTTCTAATATAAATAATGAATCACTTTTATTTACTTTTTTCACACAACCACGCTGGAAAAAAAAAGTTTTGGTTGTTTGTCGTTTTGTTTATCATTCAGAGAATCGGAGGAAGCTTCAGCAGCATCGTGATAGGTAATGTAATAATAAATGTTAACTAAAAACTAAATTCTTGGAAAGCTTTAGATTTAAAAAAAAAAAAGCTAGATTAGAATTTATGTTTTATATACTATCATCAAGTTTTCTAATACAAATTGATTTTTGATTTAAAAAAATGGGATTAACCAATTTTATTTTTAATCTTTATTAAGAAAGTGCTTATAACAGAAAGTATACTATTAAGTCCAACTCAACTGATGTTGTCTACAAAGTGTTAGAGTTGGCCTCGTGTTAGCGTTGAATTCGTAAATGAGTGTTTTGTCTTGACCTTGAGCATACTCTTAAAGATTGTTGTTACTTTAATCTACTTTTAAACTAAATTGTTTGAGTTAAGGTAATGTTTCAATGACATATGAGTAACTGCTCTTTTGGGATAACGTTACCATGTATGGTCTATCATAGTGATCATACAATTTTCATATTTAAACCGCATGCAGTTTAAATATGAAAATTGTATCGCTCTTCAAAAAGCCAAGATAAAACTTGCTATTCTAAATCCGAATGAACAGAAATGTTTTTATTTTTATTTTATCTAGCTTCTGATGCAATCGCGCAATCGCATTGATATTAAACATGTAAAATTCAACACTGTTGAATAATATCAAGTTCGTGGATGATGATCTACAGAGTTTTTTTACAAACAATAATTTACTATCATCCTTGCAACTCTTGTTAAAAAGTTTAAATTTAGAATTACTCAGGGAAAAATATCTCAGGGAAATATGCAATGCCGGTACTAGTACTGTATGTAGGCTTAAGACCTCTTGCACGGTGCAGCGGTTAAAGTTCTGGCTCAAAAAACTAAAATATATATATATATATATATATATATATATATATATATATATATATATATATATATATATATATATATATATATATATATATATATATATATATATATATATATATATATATATATATATATATATATATATATATATATATATATATATTAGGGTGTTTCTTATTTAGGGTTAAAAAATTTTTTTGTTTTTCAAATTTCAAGGGGAAAAAAACATTTTTACTGGGTGCTACAAGTCATTGAAATTTAAGGCATATTTTACTATGTGCTCTTAGTCATTAACATAGGAAAAAATCATAAAACTGATGAAGACTGGTGATAATGACTCATTTACTTGGTACACATTTATTTACATATTACATGCATTAAAAACATCCATTTTCTGTCATTACATTTCTACTTATTTATTAAAAGACAGCAATAAACATGCTTTTCTACTTTGATTGTAGGTTTACTTAAGACAATAGTTACAGTACTGAAATCGCTCATGAGAGTTGTCTTTTTTCTGTCTGGATATTTCTTTCTATATTTTTGAACTATCAATAACATGAACTGGTTTTGTTCTTTGTTATTTGTACGTAGTCTATTATATTCGTCCATTAGTGCTACGCCACATTCTGCAATGTCTTTGACAACCTTCATGCTTTGCACAGTGGACTTTACAGTCTTGAACTCATCATCATGTTTTCATTTGCTCACACTATTTTGAAGAAAGTGTGATGGAAGTCCTGTGATGCTGAAAATTTCTCGTGTATTAAACGTGACAAAGTCCTCCAGTTTCTTTTCTTGGATAACTGAGCAGTCCAAAGTAGCCCGTTTCATAGGTATCTGATCTGAAACATGGTTCAATGCTTGAACCATCTTAACCTTCGTCTCAGGGCGAATCATCTAAAAAAGCTAAAACAACAAGTTCCTCTGATAAGTACCAGAGATACCCTCGTAACTTCCTCACAGCAATTTTCAAGATCTCAGGATGCTGAGTCTTGTAGGCAACCAAGTCTTTCAAGAGCTGCAGACCAAGTCTAGGAGCTGAGGTTGCTTCAGGAGATCTATACAGTCAATCACAGCATATCTTTCCTAAACTTCTGCTCTAGTAGAATGCAAGCCCCATTTTTTGGCCCAGTATTGGCCGCAGTAGTATCAAAGTACATGCACTTTACTTGATCGTTAATTCCCCGTGCAACTGACACGTCATATACTGCAGATGCCAAATTTTCACATGTTCATGATGGTAGTTTTGGGACACTAACAATCTGATGCACTCCTACTCCAGATACTAGAATTGGAAGTCGGTTAACAGTTTCTTTATCAGTGATGTCAGCGAGTTATTTTCCATCCCAATGAATAAATAAAGGAACTTCTAGTTTAAATTCCTTCCTTAAACATTCTGCTATCTTCTTGCGATGTTTTATTCGTTCCCTTCGAATGGAAGCTGGATTAACATTGTATTCTGTTGAATCATGACCAAGAAGTTATAATACCGGTGTTAACACAAGTGCCGCCCCACGATCACTCAATTTAGCAACATCTAAATTAGCCGCCAACTTCTCATTCAGTATATTTTTCGTGCCACGTCTAGGACGCTTGGAGCCGGTGTACCTGAAGTTGATAGCTCAGGGTCATCTTGGTTACCAGGCAAGGCATCTTCTTGAGTTATGCTATCCTTTTTAGGGTTATCTTCACCTTCAGATGATGATGAAAGAACAACTGTTTCTTCTTGAGATTTTCTTGCCATCTCCTCTCGGTCCCTTTTTTGGTTCATTTCTTTTTGTCTTTTTCTTGATAATTCTTTTTGTTTTGCCAATTTCTTATCGACTGGACCCATTTTGCCTCTCCGACTTTTCTCTCTTTGGTATAATAGGAATTCCCTATCCTCCTGAATGGTAATCATTTCCAATACGTTGGCATGGATAATATCAAATAGTTTTTCTAACCCTTCATTCCATTGGTCTTCCTTTTGTTTCAAATAATCTAAACGATGAGCTTTATTCTCTTTATTTTTCTTCAGCTTTTCCCATTCCTTGTAAATGTTTTTGATTTTAGGGACAACGTGCTTCTTTAATTGCACAGATATTCGGGCCTTTGACCAAACTTCAAAAACATCATTTGCTGTGGAATGTAATGCTTTCCTAACGCTTTGCTTGGCAATCTGCTTGTAATGGAAGAAAAGGGCCAACACTTCCCTTTTTGATGGAAGCATAACACTATCTAAGGAAGAGGACACCTGTCCAATAAGCCATATCTCAGTTTTCTTTCTGGTAGCTATCGTTGCACTGGTTGATGAAGCCATCACTGTACAGTAGCTACATTAGTTTAACCTAAAAAAGGAACAATTTAGCATTATAGATACGATTCTCCTTACTAAGAGTAAAAAAATTACTAGTTAAACGAGGTTTGTACGCTAAGCACCAACTACTGTTGTTGCATAACATCATATGCAACATAAGTATCTTTAGAGTACATTTGCGCAATACTGTAGGGTCGGTAGCGACCCCTAAATATCATTCTACAAAAAAAAAATAAAGCATTACTTTTTTATAATAATAAACCAAATGGTAAGGTGGCCCATAAAAAAAAAAATATAATATATATATATATATATATATATATATATATATATATATATATATATATATATATATATATATATATATATATATATATATATATATATGTATATATATATATATATGTATATATATATATATATATATATATATATATTTATTATATATATATATGTATATATATATATATATATATATATATATATATATATATAATATATATATATATATATATATATATATATATATATATATATATATATATATATATATATATATATATGTATATATATATATATATATATATATATATATATATATATATATATATATATAAAAATATATATATATATATATATATATATATATATATATATATATATATGTATATATATATATATATATATATATATATATATATATATATATATATATATATGTATATATATATATATATATATATATATATATATATATATATATATATATATATATATATATATATATAATATATATATATATATATATATATATATATATATATATATATATATATATATATATATATATATATATAAATATCAGGCGCGGATCTAGGATTTTATATACGTGTAGCTAAAATTTGTAAAACTACGTCATAATTGATAAGTCGGTTAGTCTACGTCAAAAAGACGTCCGACAATTACGTCATGTAGTCGCCGCCAGACAGTTTTTTATCTAAGCGTCTTTAATTCACTTTTTGCACACATATTTTTTCATTTATTTTTAATGGATTCTAGTAAAATAATTAATGGTATAATACAAAATTTGCCTTGGCTATTCTGTTCGTAATTTAGACATAACGTCTAATTTACTTAACGAAGTGCATCAACTAGAAGGTAAACCATAGGAATTTGCACTCCATATGTAAGTTGTTATGCTACCTAAAGTTAGCTATCCAATTCTGGATTCTTTCCTTTATATTTCTGTTACTAATAGAATAAATCCAACTAATACTGCATGAACAATTTGATATCGTGATTTATTCAAAAGATATTTACTTAAAAGTTGTATACGACTATATATAAATATATATTTAAAAATAAATATTTGAACAGTCTCACTATCTATAGAATCCTCAGGAAGCTAATTTATTACATCTTTATTTTTTATGATTATCGAGCACTGTTTTTGTAGCATACTCTAACGAAATTAACACACATTTAAATTTTTTATTTAGTGGTTTACATTATTTAGTTTAGAACAATTTTTAAAACATTTAACATTTTAGGTGTCAAGGATTATGAAATGTAAACAAAATAAAAAATAAATTTATTTATTAAACATTTATAACAAATAAAAAATAAGGTGCTCTAAGAGAAAATAAACAAAATATAAGAGATATTCAATTATTTTATTCACATATAAATATAATTATTATTCAATCATAGCCAATTATTTAAGGTTTAAATAGCAAATTTAAACATCTCTCTCCAGAAACTGAAAAAATTTTGTTAACCCTGTTTTTATCTAGAACCATTTCGGTATTCGTTTTTGTTCTAACCATTTCGGTAAGGTCATTTAATGACTTTTTTAACACTCTACTTCTTGAATAAGTTTTTAATCTCTTGGTATTGTACCTAGAATTAAACATTTAAAATATTCGAGAATGTTGGAGAAATCAGTCATTGTCATGAGTTTTGTTTATAAAATACTAGAGGGGGTTTTGACTGATCTTTTTAAAGAAGCTTCCATAATTCAGCTCTGCATAAATAAAGGCTGAATGCAGAGTTGGAATGATAAATATCTATAAACTCCTGAAAGTAGATTTGCAAATCTTAGTTAGTTTTCAGGTAGCTTAACATGACAGTTGGAACTGCAAACATCCCATATAAACCAACTTGCTTTCTGTTTGAAATCTTATATAATTAAGAATCTCATTAGTGATAGAAAGCTTAAAATAATCAGATGATGAGTGATTATCATGATTGATTTGCTTTCCACATTTTCTAGTTTTTTGTTTTCTTTTACATTTAAAGTTAGAGCTAATTCAAAAGCAATATTAGACCAGTTGTAGCAATATAAATCAATATCAAATTTAATCACTTGAAGCATGTTTTTTTAATTGTCAATTTTAAGATTCTAAAATTCGAGACATGTCGTATATCTTGGTGTCTAATTACAATCTAAAAAATTCAATCCATCAAATTTTGGTTAAAACTAAAGTTACATTTAAATAAAATTCAAACATCATTTATGAAGAGACATTAGGTAAAAAAAAATTCCTAGACTTTTCTGTTTTCAAACCCAATAAGTAAAACAGACATCGATTAGCTTTGCTTTACCAACAGAAAGATAATTATTTAAACATGCCTGTAATTTCGGACTAAGGACACATTTAAATAATTAAGGACAGTCAACAAACCTTGAGAAATCTTTATGAGCATTATAGTTATTGCTTGTATATCTTATAACGATATAATACTGTTTAAGATTGGCACAATCAGATGCTTTATCAGGTAAAACTGAATAGTATTTACTATTATTGATTTCAGAAATAAGAATCTTCTCAAAAGCCTCGCTACAACACTCCATAAGTTGATTTTGTGTGGTTTAAGAAATAATGTAACATTTTTAGGGGCAGATATTAAATGATTTTATAAGATAGTGTCATCTGCATAAATTCCAAAATTAAGTAGTTCGAAAATATTTTCTTTAACTCTTTCTTGAGGACTCTCGTATATTATAGTCTCCAATATTGTATTATATTTGATTCTAATTAACAATAGAATCAACTTATAAGATCCTCTTTAATTAAAGCTTCAATTTGGAGATTAAATTTTTTTTTTGAAGAGATAAAAATGTAATATTTTAATTATTTACATTTATAGCAAAAAACAATTAAAATTGTTTATATAGCTCTGTGGCAAAACTATTATTTATAGCATTTACCTGTTTAATAAAGTAATGTTTTAGTTAAACGCTATAAGAATTTTAAAACAATAAGCACAGAAGAAGTTGTATATAAGTAAACTAGTTATAGTTATAAGAAGTTAGTTATTTTTATTACAAACATAATCCGTGAAAACATAGTTAAAAATATACCTTAAAGCTACAAAACTTTTGTCAAGGCTTTAACAAAACCTTGATCCATTTTAAAATATGGCATAAAAACATTTATATAAGGGCATTTTTAAGCCAAAAGATTAACTACGAAATTAAACTGGTAAGATATTCAAACCATTTCGTTTTGTAAACAATTTTTTTCGCAACATTTAATTTTATGAATGTGAATCAATAGCATTTGGAACAGTTTTTTTTTTAAATATATCTGCCATAATTACCAACTTATTAAAAAAATAATGAAGGCGCTTTGCTTATTTGAAAATAGCTGGGCATAAAAAGACTGGGAAATAAGTACAGCCACAAGACGAAAAGCAATCTAGCCAAGGGCTACAAGTGTTGACAGCATACGACTTTTCAATGAAAAAATATTACGTTAAAAAAAAACAATAGTTTAGTCAGCTTATGCCGTAAAATCAGGTCGTTTGTGGCTTAGCCACAAACGACCGATTTTTTAATTCCGGTTTTTTTTAGTTTTAAGTAATCGCTTTTGAAGCCGAATTTACACAGCAAATAAAAATAAACTTATACTAATTACTTATACTATTTTTATTTTAAAAATATGTTTGAGTAATATACTTTTTTTTATTTCGTTGATTGTTTTAAGGTGTAGCCTTAGCCACAACGGCTATACCCTAGATCCACGCCTGTATATAAATATATATATATATATATATATATATATATATATATATATATATATATATATATATATATATATATATATATATATATATATATATATATATATATATATATATATATATATATATATATATATATATATATATATATATATATATATATATATATATATATATATATATATATATATATATATGATTTGTAGGGTGTACCAAACACGAACTTTTTTTCCCCCCAGGATACCTCTCAACGTTTTCCCATTTTTTGAAGTTCATTGAGACTGAGCTCCACCTGAAAAATGGACTGAACTCAACGTTTTCCCATTCTTTGAAGTTAGTCACACACTAAAAAAAAAAGGTAGAAATTTCTATTCAAGGTAGGATATGTGATATACCCTTAGTAAGATATATTTTTTTACCTTTTAAGGTAGAAAATTATATCTTAAAGGTAGAAAATTGTATGACAAATCATTGTTTTTACTATAATTTTCTACCTTAAAAAGGTAAAAAATTATATCTTACTTAGGTTATATCACATATCCTACCCTAACGTAGAAATTACTATCTTTTATTTTAGTGTGCTAGTGGTTAAAAAAAATTGTTGCCAAGAAGTGATAGCTGTAAAATTCGAAAAAATTGATTTTTTCGAAAATAAATGCCCGTTATATCAATGTTGAATTAATATGTAGAGAAATTTATTTTTATTTTTTATTTTTCCTTTAATGAAGTTAATAACGATGTCTAGGTTAAATAAAGTTATTTTTAGTCTGATGCATTTGTTTTAATTAGCATATTTTTGAAACATGCTTGTTCAACTTGTTAAATAAGCAAATTCAAAAATATACTGAAGCTTACAAAAACGTGTGTTTTTTTGTAAGAAAGTCACAAGATACTTTTAAGAATTCCTGTATACAAGAATATTTTTTTAATAAAAATTCTTAAATACCAACAAAGGAAAAAACAACCAATGTACGATAGCCTTGTAGATGGTTAAAAAATAATAATCCAAAACCGAATAAATAAATTTATCTTTTTAATTGACCATCGGCTACTTGGCATGTTACGTTTTTTACTATTGTTCAACCTTACTCTAAATATGCATGCTTTTGAGCACAATTCCAGTAGTACATGAACTAACGGAATTGTGCTCAAAAAAATTAAAAAGAAAAATTTAATTATTCGGTTTTGGTTACAAGTTTTTTAAATTTTTGAGGTGGTTAAATTTGCTCATGTATGTTATTTAATTTAAGAGTTTATAGTATTTTGTAATAAGAGCCGTTGTCGCAAAAAATATACAAATAAAGGAGAAAAGAGAAAGATACAGACCAATCCTAAAAGGCTACTGTTTCTTCTCAAATATCTTATCAACCGGTTACCTAAAAACCAGCTTCTCAGCATTAGAAATGTTCTTAGAAACATACAGTTTATCAAATCTCCAAGGTCTTTGAAAATTAAGTCTAATAAGCCAATTATAGTTTGCTCTCAAACGTTTCCAGGCAAAGATCTTATCTACAAGGGTGGATTATGTAAAAATCCCAACCACAGATGTGTTACTGCTCTTGTAATGGATGTGTGGAACAAAGCTGGTTTTGGAGAGTTTATCTTTTCTGGATCTTTTGTCAGGTAAGAATTAATGCAATTTTTAATTTAATATAAATAAAATATAAGTAAATCAACAAACATTAATATTATTAATATAACTTATAAAAAGTAATCATATCTAGGTAATTATGAAACTTTGTATAATGATTTTTTATATCATTAAGGGATAAGATTTTGAAACTCCATACTATGTATTGATACTATGTATTGCAAGCTAATTTGAGAGAACTAAACTGGGATTCCAGCACTGGTAGATTTACTAAGATCCAGAAAGAGTTCATTCAGGAAAGTACCAAACTCTTCGACATATCTGTAGCGAGGTTTGAGTAAAAAATACAATCAGATCGCCTTCTACCCAGGATACCAAGGGAGAAGACATTCCGTTTTTTTAAACCAGAAAAAGGATCGAAAAATGTATATAACTACAGAAGTAGACAAAGAATTTAAAGCATCTATTAAAAATAGACAGGATCGTTGGCAGAGAATAAAGAGTATGAAGATTACAACAGCGGAAAAAGAAAAGGGTTACGAACTCATCTGCTTTCGAGTCAGATGCTGCAGTTTTGACAGATGAAGATGATGTCGATGAATTACGTCAAAACTTCGGTTCTACAGTAAAAGCCAAGGTAAATAAAAGATTATTAAAAATCTAAAGTTATTTGTATAAAATTTGAGTAAACTAAATTTAATTGCATTCAACTAGATAAGAAATATCACTTCTATTTAATATTTAGATAATAATAAATATTAGTCCTGAGGATTTAGTGGATTGTACTTCTGTGGTATCTGCTCGGTATAAGGTTGGAATCTGACCTCAAACCACGATCATTGCAGCAATGTGCAATAAAGCAGGCGTGAATCTTGAGAATCTCCAAAAGCTCTGTTCATCGAAAGCTCTGTTCATCGAAAGCTCTGTTCATCGAAAGCTCTGTTCATCGAAAGAGATTTAAGATGATTGAAGATATAGGTAAAAATAACTAATTGAATAAAATAATATGAATAACACAAATTAATTAAATTGGTAATAAAGCTATTTTGAATATTAGTATACCAGATAAGGCAAGATATAATTGAAACATTGAAGGGAAAGAGACTTGTCCTGCACTCCAACAGTAAAAAAATAAAAGAGATGGAGGAGAACCAATATATTACTGCCACAGTTAAAAAGATTTCTGTTAATGTTACATCATCAAATATTAACGATACAAATGACATCCTCCTTGGAGTAGTTCAAGCTCAAAGTTCCAAGGGAGTTGATCAGGCAGATGTAATCTTAAATCTCCTAGAATATTACAACATTGTTAATCAGATCTTCACCACATGCTGTGAAACTACTGCTTCCAACACTGGAGTATTTGCAAGAGACATTACTATCCTCGCAAACATCCTCAACATTTTGTTTCTCTGGTTTCTTTGCAGACGACACATGTTTGAGATACACATCTCACATTTTATGGAGGCTCTTGCTGGAGGAAAAACAAAGGGACCCAGGAAAGCACTATATTTAAGACTTCAAGCCTGGCCAAGCATCAAGAAGGAGGTAGACAAGAGGAGGTAATTAGGTTTGATTGGAATGAACTACAGGTTAGATTATCTCTGTACAAATTAGCAAGGGAGGCCTTAGAGTCGCCTTCAAATAAACTAGTTGTCATCAAGTCATCGTATGAAATAAGGGACTACTATCCAAAACTTGGACAGGCTCTTCTTGTCAGCATGCGGCACGCTTGGTACTTAACAGAACATTTAGTTGTACTGGTCCTACCTGAAGATGATGTTAACGAGAAGGTAAAGAAAAAGATGTTGAAAAAGTTGGTCAAGTGCTATATACCCAAGCAGTTTTATATGGGGAAGACAAAGCTGCCAGTTATCAACAGGTTAACTGAGCTATTTGAGCTGGTAGGTTAACAGAGTTGGATCTTGTTTATGGTATCAGGTATTCCTTTTGGAGAGGCGGAGAAGTGGTTCAAGGGAAATGTCAGTGAAACATTTGATCTATTTAAAACGTTTTTGAAATCGATTGAATGTGTTAATGACTGCGCTGAAAGAAATATCCAACAGATCCATGATTTTGTTGGAGGCTACAGGTCGGATAATATGAAACAGAACCACATGCTCGTTGCCAAAGACAACAGAATTAAAAAATTAAAGAAAGAACTAGCAAAGAAGCAACTCAAAAAAGTTTAATTTTTAAAATTAATATATATTTTTATGAGTGCTACTAAAATACCTAGTTTTTTTTGAAAAAGTTGCTTTTTTTTGAAAAATAAAATTTTACAGCTATCACTTTAAACAAGAGCAAAAATAGTTTTTTTAGCTTTTTTTTAACCTATTTGGACCTTAGAGAATTAGAAAACATTGAGAGGTATTTTTTTTGGTTCACCATAATGATAAGCTTTAAACAAACCTTGCTATGACAATAAACTTAAATATACATTTCCTTGAAATTTTTAACTCGGTACATTTCCGAAAAATTTCCCGAAATTTTTGAAATTTTCAAAAAAGATAAGTTATTTTATAATTAATGGGTAAATTTTATGTCTTATTTAGTCAGTTGTTATGAACAACTTTATGGTAAAGTATTGTGAAGTAGATTATAAAAATTTTAAAACTTTTTGGAAACACATTTTTTGTTTGGAAACACATTTTTTGTTTGGAAACACATTTTTTGTTTGGAAACACATTTTTTGTTTGGAAAAACATTTTTTGTTTGGAAACACATTTTTTGTTTGGAAACACATTTTTTGTTTGGAAACACATTTTTTGTTTGGAAACACATTTTTTGTTTGGAAACACATTTTTTGTTTGGAAACACATTTTTTGTTTGGAAACACATTTTTGGTATTTTGTTTTTGATTGTATTATATTTTTTGCCACTATAATATTTTGTTTTCAAAATTTTCTAAAATTGTTTTATTCTGTTATTTGGTAAGTATATTTAAGTTTATTGTTATAGCAAGGTTTGTTTAAAGCTAAACATAGTTTGCACCTCCACCCTTAAAGGGAAAGGGGTAGTCGGTAAAATGCAAACTACGAACCGCGAACAGCGAACCGGTAAAATCATTTTAAAAATGGGAACATTTTTGCAAATCGTTGTCTTATTGGTTGTTAATGATGTAATATTTTTTATTTTTAGTATGCCATTTAGTTGTTTATTTTTCTTTTTAACTTATGGACTTCAAGCTGAAGCATAAATTATATTTAGTTTAAAGAAATACAACCTAATTTATATAAAAAACATCAAGTTCTATTATATTTAATTTAAATGAAAAAATTGATGAACAAACATTTTTTTAAGTATTATGCCTGTAGTGGTCATTTAAATATAATGTCTTGGTTCGCAAAAAAATTCGCATTTTACCGGTTTGCAGTTCACAATTTGTATTTTACCCACTACCAAAGCAATTTTCAATGTATATTAAATTGGCCCTACAGGTTACTGAAAACTTTAAAATTGTATATTTGATTTTTAACTTGATTGAATATTTACAGTATTTTACAATATTTTCTTGTTTTAACGACATTATTGATTAATGAATAGCAAAAAGTAAAGAAAAATTTTTGCAAAATTTCTTTAAAAAACTTTTTAAAAACTGTTTAAAAATATAGTTAGCAATAAAAACTAATGATTTTGGGGTCATAAATTCCGCTGCTATGTTTAAATAAGTGCTTTTAAGACTTAAGTCTCACTCGCTACTACCTTGCTAGGGAATTTTTGACTTTATAAATCAATAAGTAATTATGCTATACTTTAAAATGTATACCATATTTTCAACCAATACTGCCAATTGGGCGATTCGTGTGTGTGTTTGTGAATGTGTGTGTGTGCGTGTTTTATAAGTATCATACCAAGCAAATAATTTTATCATTATTTTACTAAACATTCAGATCAAATGTGTTTTGCAATGTCATTTTTAAATAAATTATTATAATCTAACAAACCTAGTGCTTTTATAACATGTACCTTTTATGAAAGTGTTTTAAATGCAATGTTTACACATAAAAATCTTATAATTTTTTTTAAATTTTGTATGCAACTTTTACACATACAAAATCTTTGTTTCTTTAAAACACTCTACAAAAATAATACACAATAAAATTTGTTAATCTAAAAAAGATTTTATTTTTTGTGTTTTGTGAATATTTTACATCGTAACTGAGAGAAGTAAAAGCTAGAAATATGTTATACACAAGCTCAAAAGACAAGCTAACATGGTTGACATCTACTTTTCGTTGCTCCACAAAAGTACATAAAAGTAGCATATAACAACTAGAGCATTTTATTGGTTTTTTAAAAAAATGCGCAATTTTTAAATTGATAAACTTGAAAATAAAAATTTGACCAAATAAAATATAGTATTTAGCGAAAAACACTCATGATTTATTTTAAATATAAATGATATATTATTTTTTATACTAAATATAACTAATAATTATTTTTCGCTGAATATTATATTTTTTAGTAAAATAGTATTATATTTAATACCACAATGATAAAATGATAATACTTAAATACTACGATGATAAAACTCATTTTTGAAACAAAAAATTGAATTTTAAAAAATAATATAATTTTCCGGAAATTTCTAACCCTTATGGTTTTTTTTTAATAAGACAAATATTTTTCTCGGAACAACTTAATATTCTAATTCACTGAAAAATGCAAAAATGCAAGAAACGTATTAGTCTGGTCGCTACATGTAAAAAAAAAAGGAAAACTAAACATTTTGAGTGGACATTCTGATTTTTACATAAAATTGTTTCTTATAACTTAAGAAGTTTAAAAATTTTTACGTGCTACTTGGAAAGTGCTTATAACTTAAGTTAGAGACAAAAATTGATGCAGCTTATTGAAAGATTTCAAGCATGATATATCCGCCATGTTGTTTATAAATCCAATACCGCAAAGCATTAATTTAGTTTTAACAAATTATTGATAGGGGGTTAATTGTTTGTAAAATTAAATGTTTTAAATATAATTACTCAAATCTATGTAGCCAAAATTTCCTAAACCTTATTTTCAAAAAAATTTGTTTATAATTTTTTTTATATTGTATTAAAAATATGAAATAATTTTAATTTAATAAATCTAAGAAATATAAAAATGTTCCCGTTCTTTGTTTACGCTAAAAAATGTTTACTTTTTAAAAACTGTTTACTTTTTTTTATTTTGTCGAAGTTCTTTTTAAAAGTATAGGATTACCGTCATAAATAGAAGAAAAAAATCAAAGTCAATTTTATAAATAAAACAAAATATTTGCATAACAAACTGCAATCATTTTAAAAGAAACGGTTAATGCAAAAATATAAAGCATAAAACTAAAAAAAAGTGTTTTATTTTTATTTATTTATTATTATTATTATATTAAAAAAGAAATTAAAAATGCTTGTATACTTCATCATGGTGAAGTTGGTTGTAATAATTAGTGTTCGGCAAAATCAAATATACGTCAAACCTTTAAAGATTTGAATTTGAACTGTGCTTTGAGGGGATAGATTTGAATTTGATTTGACAAATATCTGGAGGATTTGGATTTGATTTTCAAATATTCACTTTGTTCTCAATTTTTGCGTTTGAAAAAAAAACGCCAAATTTTACAGGCCCGCAAACATATATATCACTTTATTCCGGGGTCTTTGCAGTGGTTTCCGGAATGGCGGTCGCCTTTCAATAACGGAAAAAAAAAAAAAAAAAAAAAAGAGTTTTTAATTAAAGTTACTAGTTTTTAATTATCTGCACTGTCCTGGACCCAAGATTTGGTATTGAATATTACAAAAATGATAAGGGCGCAAACAGCGAGTCGTATACAAAGATTATGGACACAGTCAATTGTGAATATCAAATCAATTATGCCCCAAGCAATATTACAACTGCTACAAGCATTCAAAACGTTTCAAAATATACCCCGTTCAAATCGCGTGTTTCATCAAACCCATGTAATGAGTTTGAAAACTATTGTAATGATACAAGTTAGCTAGATGGCGGCAATAATAGCAACATATTACTTTGGTGGAAATCTCGATCTGACAAATATCCAAACCTATCCAGAATGGCCAGAGATTACCTGGCCATTCCTGCTACATCTGTATCATCAGAAAGGCTCTTCTCATTAGGAAAAAATCTTATTACTGACAAAAGAAATCTTCTCTCTGCAGATACCATTCAAGCTTGCCAGTGCTTGAAGTCTTGGTTGGATTAAAAAGAATAAAAGAAGCTGTAATGTGTGAGAAATAGTAACAAATGCTGCAATATGAATAAAATTTATAGATTCAGATAACTAAAATTAATAAATGAAATAAGTTAAATAACGTTCAAATATACATCAAATCTTGGAAAGATTTGAATTTGATCTAAATTCAAAATAGGAAGATTTGAATTTGGCCATTTCAAACATTTGACGCATATTTGATCAAACTATTTGAATTTGTGCCGAACACTAGTAATAATAACAAACTGCGTGGTTTTACTGAAAATGCGCTTGCGAAAGTGAAGACTTGTGGCAAAGCAAGCATTGTGACTTACAATACTTGGTAAGTCACAAACTAAATGTACAATTCAGACAGTGGCGGAACTTCAAAATTTGGGCCCCCCTGCAAAAGAATGTTTTTTTTGCGGAAAAGAGTTTTATAGTATAAATATTATTGAGAGTATAACTTTTTTTATATGAGGGCCCCCTATAGCTGGTAGGATCCCCCCCCCCCGCAACGCAGGGTCCTGCGTCCAGTAGTTCCGCCACTGAATTCAGTTTATTTTTTCATATATGCCTTAAACAATGGTACGGAAAAAACAATAAATAGCGTAAATTTGATAATAATATTTTTTTTTTACTATCGTCAAATTCGAAATAACTTTAAAATCATAAACATTCTACCTGAAATTCAGGTTCGTATCCAGCATTTTTTGGTCTTCGAGATATCTTTTAGACATGGAGCAAACTCCAAACATTTATATGTTTATACTTATGTCAAATAAGGATGCTTTGCAAAAAATTGCGATGATTGGAACTTGGGAACAAAAAGCCCCAAAGTTTGTGCTTCCCCTGCCCTAAACGTGAGAGCAACAAGTTGATGAAATATTTTTGTACTATTTTTAACCAGACTTATATTTATCGAGAAATTTTAAGTTTCATAGTAAAATATTTCAGCGTTCAATAATTATAACAATATAAAATTTGCGACCCCCTCAAATTGAGGGGAGTTTAAACTTTAGTCAAAGACCAAATAATGCTGGATACGGCCTGCTGATACGTGCCCAACAACTTTCTTATTTCATCAAAGATGTTACGATAAGTATGTGAATATAAAAACATTAAACATTTTAAAACATAGGAAAAATAGAGCAGAAAATGTCAACGAGAGTGTAGGCGTGGATAATGCATCCTCGTTTAAGCGTAGAATCTCAGCTCGGAAAAGAGATAGATCAGGTAAATTAAAAAACCTTTTAGTGTGAAATGCAAAGCAAAGAATATTGCCCTCAGTTTTTACGTTTTTTTATGTTTTATGTACTACTTCAAAATTAAAATAATTCCTTTGTTTTATGAAAAATTATTGCGGATGAAAAGTGGTGAATTTGCTATTGCAAAAAGACTAATAAATATAGGAACGGATATAAAACGCTTACACCCAATGGGCACCGGACCTAAAAAAGACGTCTTTTTAACGTTTAAAAGGCGTCCAAAACTTCAAAAGACGTTCAAAAGAGGTCCAAAACGAGTATAAGACGTTTAAAAACGTCTTTTTACGTCCGTGCCTACTGGGCAAAATTTGTAACAGAAAGTGCAGCAAACATGTTAAAAGAAAACGCTTAAGTAAAGCTGAAAACTCAGCTAGTATATTGGGCAAACCATAATTTCCTTAGAGTTATATTATCATCGGACTTGTTACCTTAACTATACAAGACCCCAAAAAGTTCCTTTTATTTTAACAGAAGATGCAATTAATCGTTTTCTCTTCGACTATGTGACAGAACGTATTAGACAATTTAGAGATTACTCATACAAGTAAGCTATTTGAATTTTAGAAGGAAAACTGCACAGATAGAGCAAAGATTCTAGATAAAAGGACTTTGCAGGATGCTGTAGTTGCAGAACTTGCGGGTCTGTTCAGTTGCGGTCACCAAAATAGGGTATTCTTTCTTATGCAAAAACCACATACTTTAAACTGCCTATATAGAATGCATCTATTGGTTTCGAAATCGTTTGCATTCACACGGTTGACACAGATATTGCTATTTACGCTTTGTACTTTCAAAACCAACTTCAAATAGAAGTATTTGTGGATATTGGCGTTTCTACTGAAAGACGGACTCTTGATATAAATCTTATTGCCTCACAGTTAGGTACTGATTGTTGTAAAGCTCATCTTGCTCTTCATGTATTTAGCGGGAACAATTATACAAGTGCATTTTACGGGATCGGTAAGTCAAAGTTTCTCAAACTAATGAGACAGTCTGAAGAGTACAAGTCAATTTTTCCAATTTTGGGGACTCTTATACCTTTGATGTATTCCATTTTGACCAAATCGAAAAGTTTACATGTCAGTTATAAAAATTATAATCCAGTGATACGAACGAAGGAAAATATCTTAAGTTTATTGCCAAGAAAGAAGCTACGGAACCTTAAAAGTTTCTGCCAACTAGGGATGCTCTTATGTGTCATTGCAAGAGAGTTTTGTATCAAACAGCAATTGTCAAACAATCAGTGGAGGCAAATCTCAATATTCCAAAACCCAATGGATGTGGATGGCGAGAAATTGGCAATCAACTTGAGGTTAAATTGATGCACATTAGACCTGCTCCTGAGGATGTTTTACAGTTAATTCCTATTCGTGTAAAAAGTCAAAATGTTAAACACAGGTTGATTGCATGGATTGACTTGTACGCAACTGTTCGTCTTGTGAAAACACAAATGATTGAGACGACACCTAGACAAAATATTATTTAATTGATTCGAATTTTCCTTTTTAAAAATCTGTTCACTAAATATTTTTTTTTCGCGAAATTTGAAAAAACTATTAGCGTGACGTCATTAGTACCAAACAAGGGGCCGGAATTTGACCCTTTAAGCACTTTGAGAATTGCTCGTAAGTTTTTCTAAAGGTTTTATTATTTACTATAAGGTTTTCTCAAGAGATTATCTAACGTTTGACGTAAATATATATTTTTTAGTTTAATAAAAAAAAGTAGACCAGCGTGACGTCATCAGTACCAAATAATGCCCCAAATTTGACTCTTTAAGCACTTTCAGAAAGACACGTAAGTTTTTTTTGAGATTTTGTTATTTATTATAAGGTTTTCTCAAGAGTTTATCTAACTTTTGACGAAAATATTTTTTTTTTAGTTTGATTTTTTAAAAAAATGTCAAAATGACGTCATCATTACCAAATAAGGGCCCAAATGTGACCCTTTAAGCACTTTCAGAAAGGCACGTAAAGTTTTTCTCATTCAAGATATCGATGTTAAACTATTTAAGTAGTTTTTGTAATGTCCACTTCATTTCCAAGAAAAAGCTACACGTAGCGTCCAGACTATATGTTTAATCTATACGATTTACACTTATCAACAATTTTTTTTTTGTGTAATCATACGATTACACAGATCAAAAAAAATTTTTTTCTGATGCTGAGCAAACAATACATTATTCTTAGAGCATTTCTCATTTTGATTTCAAATATGCAATTCATTTTTCACCATCTTGTCAAGTTGTAAAGATATTTAGATTCAAATATTTAGCATTAGGGATAAAATCCATCATATTGTCAAAAAAAAAAAAAAAAAAATTCAAAAGTATGTTAACCTGGGTCTCAAAAAAAGCGTATTTTCATAGAGATTTTAAAAAACATAAATATTTTTACATAAAATATTTTAACAAAAAAATATTGTGAAAATATGCCTAAGACTCTTAAAACAAATTTAACAAAATGTTTCTTAGCAATAATATAAAAAGTATTCATTTTTTATTACAAGCAAATATTAGTTAAAATTTTTTTTTTGACAATATAAATACTAAAATTTTAACCCAAATTTAAAATAACTTTACAACTTGACGTGATGGTTAAAAATAAGTTGCATATTTGAAATCAAAATAAGAAATGCTATACAAAAAACATTGTTTGCATCAATTTTTTTTTTTTTTTGCTGGCCTGTGTTACTAGTCAATATATTTTCACTTCAATATTAATTTCATATACACACAATAGCGAGGAACAATTACAAACAGTTATGAACATGTATCGTATTTTATGTATCATATACTATCATAGGTCTTTGAAGACCTATGATGGTATAACTAATTACTGTAAAACATAATAACTTATTATATTTTATGGAAGACACTAATCTGACTTAATAAATAATTCAGATTAGTGTAAATAAGTCTTCCATAAAACGTAAACGCAAAGCCTAAACATATCTACACAAACTCAAAACAGAGACCAAAATTTTTAAAGATTGCTTTGCCATGTAATAAATGGAAAATAAATAATGTTCTTATGTTAATAATAAATGGAAAATAAATAATGTTCTTATGTTAGTAATAAGTAATGTTTTCCATTAATATATTTTAAGGATATCTGTTTTTAGTAAATAAAAAGTATCAACAATAACAACAACAATAATAACAATAACAACAGCAGCAGCAACACCACCACTACCAACAGCAACTACAACAACAACAAGATCACCACCACCACGAAAGCAGTAACACAAATAGCAACAACAACAATATCTACAACAACAAACGCTACAACAACATCTATAATAATAGCAACAACAAGATGTTTATTTTTCTTTAGAATTATGACAAAAATGAAATATTAATGGCATTAATAGCACTTGAATTAATAATCATATCAATAATAAAAGTAATTAGGTAATAAACACTTTGGGAGATACCATTTAGTATTAAAAGTAATGGTCAAACTCACTTAAAAAAGGAATGTAACAGTATTGAAAATAAGATATTGTTGAAAAGATTTTTATTCTCTCACTACATTATTTTCTTCTAAATCTTTTATGCATAATTTTTTATTGGTTGTTTATAGAGAGCTGTATGAAGTGATTTACTGATTGATAATAATTTGCCATACAAAAAGAAATCAAAAGAGTAACACTGAGCTAATCATGATGATTTATGATAAAGATGATGATGATGATGATGATGATGATGATGATTATGATGATGATGATAATGATGATGATAAAAAGAGCTACAACAACAGTAATAATAATAATGATAACAATTATATATACAATAAAAATTTTGTAAAAAATAAAGTTGTATAAATTTCAAAAGCAACTGTCGATATTAAAATGAGATAATAAATAGAAAGAAAAGTAATGTAAATCTCATCATCTCTAAAAACAACAAATAAATAACTATGCTTAAAAGATTTAAAAGAAAGTAATATATTGAAAACATGTAAATCTTTTCAAAAAAGTTTAGCAGCATTGATAAATGTATCATTTAATGTCATCTTTTTTTTTTGAATTTTCTATTTTTTTTTTTACTTATTTTCTATAAATTTTTACTTTTATTTATGTATTTGTAAAAAAAGACGTTTGCTATTTGTGAATTCAGTTAAATCAAGTAAAAGATTTAAAAATTATTTAAATAATAAAATTATATTTTTAGGCAATTATCTAATTAGAGTTGTTTATAAGAACACATCTAATGAAATCGAAATCAGTAGTCTTAAAAATAATTCAAAGCTTCCTGATGTGATAGACTTTACTGAAAGTTTTGATAGTCCGAATTTTACTTCAATTTATTATGGACAAAGAATATATGGATGGATTCAAGTAAAGCAAACTGGGGCTTATGGATTTTATATATCCTGTAAAAGTTCATGTGAACTTTACATAAGCCTTAATGAAGACCCCACTAACATAAGCAGAATAATTAGCCAGAAAAATTCAAGTCTTCAAAGTTCATGGACTCAGTATGATCTTGTATTACTAAATAATAATAGTACTTAAAAGTTCAAAAAAGAAAAATTTGTAAAAAATGTTACTGAATTTTGATAACAAACACCTTGTATGTTATGTATTGTTTCATTTAAGATATCCAGAGGATTGCAATCCAAAATATATTTATTTGAAATCCAATTCAAAGTATTATATTGAAGTTCTTATGACTGGTAATTCTGATGAAGATCATTTATCAATAGAGGCACAGCTAATGGGATCTCAAACATTTAAAATATCAAAAACTTGGCTAAGTAATATAAAAATAGGTAACGTTTTTCTTTATAAAGTTTATTTCTTTATTATCTATAATTTTTTTGGTTATTATTATTGTTATTATCTCTAGTTTTATTGTTGTATTTGTTATGATTGTATACATAACATTCATTAAAAATGAAAACACAGGAAACAGATGAATGATATTGGCTTTGCTTCAGTCGGGTAAGACCACTACTGAAATAGTTTCAGTACAGAAGTGCTCAAGAACTGCTTTTTTTGTGTAAAAAAAGTTTTTATCAAATCTGGTGATGTTTTAAGACAACTTAAGACTCTGGTTCGAACAAAAAGAACAAAAAATATTTATCAACTAGTCAAAGAAAAAGTTAAGGATGCTGTGACAAAACACTTGATAAGGCAAAATCAAAAAGAACTCAGAAAAGAATGATAGCAAAATACAAGTTCTGAGCACTGATAAGATAGAAGATGTTTCAGACCACATCAAATATATCTTTAAAACAAAGCACCTAGCCTTAAAAAAAGTTTCTACCGACAAAAAATGTTCCTTGTATAAAGAAGACATACATAAAAGGTAACTATTGTTTTTTAGCAGAATGGTGCACCTGCTCATGCCACTAAAAAATCTCAACAGTACCTCTCTAATACAATGGAGCAATTCTGCAATGTTATAATAGGAAACAAAAATATATGATAAAACAGAAAATATCATAGTAAAGTGTCAATTTTTAAAAAAGGTTATACACTATGACACCTTACAACATGGTAGGTGCCATAAATAACCAAAAATATTTTTCTTCCAATGCATATCAAGTTAAGTCTTCAAAGAAGTAAAATTTTATAGAGATTTCATAAATAACAATCTTGTTTTAACATAATCTTCTTAAAGAAAATATTGTGAAAAACGTTTTAAAAAATTTTAAAATTTTTATTTTTTTGAATGTTAGTTTTTTAATTAAAAATTACAAAAAATTGATTTTATCAAAAGCAATAATTTTTTTTTAAACTTTCTATAATTTTCTTTCGGTTCTTTTGAGACCCAACTTGATATACTTAAGGGAAAAAAATATTTTTAGTAATTTATGTCTCCCATCATGTCTATGTCATTGAGTGACTTGGGGCATGATATTTTTTAAAGTTGACACATGCAATTGGCATTTTCTTGATTTGTGAAGAAAAATTTTACAAAAATTAATACAGGGATAGTCTCATAAAAACAGCCATATTCTTAATGTGGATCGCTGTTGAGAAAGAAGCATGTAAGATGCACCATACCAGTATAAAGGCTCTACAGCAATCCAGAGCATAGAAGAGTGTTCTGACTATTGACTTCATCAATGCATGCTGGTCATTATAAGGTTGAATCCAACAAGTCTATAAAGTTGATGGGGTCACATCTCTAGTTTGTGAATTAATTTATGTCCGTTTAAAATTAAATTTTTGAAGTTTTGGCATTAAAACATTACACAGTTGCTGAGTTACCCAATACACAATATCATATTTATTTTTGACATAAATTACTTCATTCATTTAAAAATATCAAGAGTGTAAAATTAAAAGCATTAAAAAGCATTGATGTGGTAATAATAATAGGGAAAATATCTATAAATAGATTAAATGCTGCAATTAAAAGATATTGTAAATCCATCTCTTAATTTTTAACTTTTTCAAAATCTCTGTTCCTTAAAAAATTTTATTTCTATTAGATTTCAAAGATTAAATAATCTTTATTTTTTATTTTGATTGACCAACAATGACAACAAGATATTTAATTTTCTTTAATAATCATTACAAAAACAATAATACTATTTATAACAAGGTGATTTATTGAATATCAACTCTTGTTTTCAGCTGTCTTATATTTACTCACACATAAATGTGTGAGTAAATATAAGAAAATGTTAGTGTGAGTAAATATAAGAAAATATTACTCACACATAAATGTGTGAGTAAATATAAAATATATAATAAAATTATTTAATATATATATATATATATATATATATATATATATATATATATATATATATATATTTATATATATATATTATATATATATATATATATATATATATATATATATATATATATATAAATATATATATATATATAATTTTATTATATATACATTTATGTGTGAGTATATAAAACTGTGTTATATATACTCACGCATAAATGTATATATAATAAAATTATATTATATATATATATATATATATATATATATATATATATATATATATATATATATATATTAAATAATCTATAATTGTTTTCAACTGTGTTATATATACTCACGCATAAATGTATATACAATAAAATTATATTATATATATATATATATATATATATATATATATATATATATATATATATATATATATATATATATATATATATATATATATATATATATATATATATATATAAAATCTAAAATGAAAAAACAACAGAAAATTGTAATTGTAAACAAAAAAACAAATGTCCAATGAGTGAAAGTTGCTTATCAAAAAATGTGGTATATAAATGTGTTGTCTCCTCTAAGAATGTACCTGATAAACAATATATTGGCATAACAGAAGGTGAATGGAAAAAAAATTTGCCAATCATAAGCAATCTTTTAAAAATAAAAAGTATTCAAAAGACACCATGCTGTCAAAATATACATGGGAATTAAAAGATAAAAATATTGATAATTTCACACTGAATTGGTCCATCCTTAAAACAGTGCCTGCATAATACAATATTTCCAAAAAATGCATACTATGTCTAGAAGAAAAATTTGAAATAATTACACATACAAACCAAGAATATTTATTAAACAAAAAATCGGAATTGATTTCTAAATGCAGGCATGAAAATAAGTTTCTCCTAAAAAACTATTAAAATAAGTGAGCTCAAATAATAGTTACATTAACTCCCCTTTGAAAAAAATATATTATTTTTTAAAAAAGCTTAAGTAATCATTTCTAAAGAATTCTTTTTAAAATAGTGTCAGCAAATTTCACAAATGTGTGAAAAATTGCAGTAGTTAAGACATGTGACTTCCTGTAATTTAATTTTTGGTATAAATTGAAGTTTTATTAATTTGATCATTCATTTCTAATGAGTCTTTATTGATGAAACATATTGTTAAATGAGAAAAAATTTTGTTAAGTGATTTTCTACTAATTTATATATATATATATATATATATATATATATATATATATATATATATATATATATATATATATATATATATATATATATATATATATATATATATATATATATATATATATATATATATAGACACACACATAAATGTATATATATATATATATATATATATATATATATATATATATATATATATATATATATATATATATATATATATATATATATATATATATATATATATATATATATATATATATAAAGTATAATTATATATAGATAAACAAAAGCAAAAAAGTTGATGTTCAATAAAATACCCTTTGTTTCATATGCTTCTTTTCATATCCATCCGCACCAACTTTACACAGCAAATATTTTATTTTGTTGGGTTGGGTTGAGGATATATAGGTTTACTCATTGTTAACGTCATTTAGAGTTCTTTTAATTAACTTTTTATAATCAGAAAAATAAGAAACTCTTTTTAAAAACAAAAAGCTTTTTTTTGAAAAGGAATAAAAAAAAAAAATGTATTAAAATAGTATTTGTAGAAAAAAGAAAGAGAAGCAACCTTACCTCAATGGAAGTGAGGCTCAAGCTTATCAAATAGAGCAGGTCCAGCTACATTTACAATATATTTTTGAATCTTGTCTAGACGAGCATCATTAGAAGAACCAATTCAATTATGGCTACAGTAGTGCGTACAGGGAAGAAGCGATGAATAAGAGAATATAGCTGCAGTATGTAGGCAGTATGTATTAGAGATTTGTAGCAGTAGAGAAATTGTGAGAAAAAAGAATAGCAGACACGATAAAGGGAACAAACTTACAAGATGCTAAGCTTGCAAAAGAATTTTATATAAAGTTTCCATGAGATGTCAGTAGTAAATTATAATCTGATAAGACTAAAAGTAGATGACGTTTTCTTCACAGATTCACTAAATGAAATAAGCTTATACAAAAGAACAGCCAAAACTTTAAACATGCCAAAATTTATCAAAAGTTTTTAATGTTTCAAGAGCAACAGTCCTTGTCTAGCCACCTCCATCTTATGCACAAAAGAACCTTTCTGTTTCAACTGCAAGTTAGTCAAAGAACAAGAAGATCAAAATCCATATCAATTGTCAGAAAGTAAGTTAATATGAGATATTAAACATTTGACTCAATATGAGATATTAAAAATTTGTGATTAAAAAACATACTAATAATAGAGAGAAGACTGATTAGAAAGAAATTAGAGCGTTCTCCAACTTTTTAAAAATTGGAACACTAGATGCCAATTTCCAGCAAAACAAAATTAAAGTTCTAACCTCATTTAATTTCTCTCCTCTTTATTTCTCTCGTGCTAATATTAATTACTCCATAGTCAATGTACCAATTACTTATTTGGTATATATATAGAAAATGGTTTTTCTTTTACCATCTGTTTGTGTAGTTTTTATGTGTCTTAGTAGAATTTTTAATTATGTTTTTTTTTTGTTTTTTAGTGTTAAGTAATTTTTTCTTTATGTTGTATGATTGAATTAAAATAAATAAATATATAAAAAATAAATTTTGTTGTTGTTGTTTAGTATATCTAATTTTCTTTTCCAAACTCAAAGCAAACAAATTCTTTGTTTGTTGTCTTAGGAGCAGTGACTTTTTAGAAACATTTTAATATTTAATTATAAATAAACTCGATTAGCCAGTTTCAAAGTGTTTAGTCAAAAGCTACTTCTAATTGTGATTGTGTTTGACAATTATTAATGTTTTAAAGCACAATCTAGGCTTTTCAAGTACACTGTAAAGCTAGTTTACACATAGATACAGTATAAGTTAGAAAACCTGTGTTTTAACTTGTACACATTTATAAAGATTTTAAATGTGTACTTTTTATATGAAAAAGAGTATTTTAACTTATTTTAATTTTTAGTTGATTTATTACTTGTACTATTGCTTATTATAAAAATTGTGTTTATTATTTAGTGGTATGTGCCTCTGGTTCTATTTGTGATGTTAATGAGTATGATATTTGCATAAATGATAAAGTATTGAATTTATTCATATGTACATGTAAAAGCGGATATGAATATAAGAATGGTAACTTGTTTTGTACAGGTAACTATTTAAGTCAATGTATACATTTATATTGCCAACATAATATCCACATACATAACAAAAAATATTAGGAGTATTTTAACATTCTTTAGTAGCCATTATGAGAAGAGCACAAGTTACCCAATAGGCACAAATACAATGAAATACATATATTATGCGTATTAGATACAAATTTAAAGTAGCTTAAGACAATCAATTTTGGTTTGATGACCAACATACAAAATTTTTTTTAATTTTCTAAAATTTTTTATGACACAGAAATGGAAAACATTAATTTTCAAGTACCTATTAATGAAATGCTTTTATGTTTACAATATATATATATTATTATTTGGTTTGTAACCCACTAATTTTTATTAAATTGATTTTTAAATGAGTATTTTACACTGACACTGCTATGCTGAGTTTAGGAATGCAGAGTTTCTATGGTCTATGCAATGTATAGTTCTATAAAGCTCATAATATACCTATAAATAATAAAAAATGCAAATTTATAACATTTTAATTAGATACTTACTTTTTTTATTACTTAGAAAGTAAGCGGTTTATTTCAGTGGTTTTTAATGAGGGTTTGACAAATTGTTTGTTTTTTATTAATGTTAGGAGAGGTAGGGTGGAGGTTAGATGAAGGAGAGAGAGAGATGTAATTAGTCTTTATTCACGAATCAAACTCAGGCCATAAAGATAGTAAAATCTTAATCAAACATTGAAATAGTCTCAATAAAAATAGTGAAGCTCTGGATGTTCAACCAATATTTTGTTAAAATCCAATAAAGCAGCCTTCTTGACTATATTGGCCCCTAGATCATTAGTTAGATAAATATAATTAAAACAGTTAACATCAGGAGGTAGGCAGTGTTTAGATAAGAGAGAGATATCTTTGTTGGTAAAATGGTTCTGAGTTTTTGTTGGAAAGATCTGAGTTTTTACTTTGACTTTTTATTTTCCTTTAGACTTTGTTTGAAAGTTTTTGCTTATTTCATTTCAATACTCTTTTTCACTTTATAAAGTTTGTTTTGAACTTATAGTTCATAATCATTATTTATTCTGTATTTTATGCACATGAAATTGTAATTAAAAATTTTATTAACACTTTAAACATTTATAAGAAAATTGATTTAACATCAATTAAACATTAAAAAAGTAATTAGTATTCTTGTTTTAAAAAATGTTTGCAATTGTTAATAACTTAAAACAGCAAGAAGCAAAACTTTATGGCGAATAATGATTCAGAATGGCAAAACATGAATTAATGAAGTTAAAAAAAAAGAAACTTATAAATAGTAAAAACCAAATTACTTCAAAGATTAAAAATTTCTTGAAAATTCTATTCTAGAACTCTAGAAAATTCTAGGTTTAATTTTCTCATAAGTATTGACTTGATCAAGTGAACCATTAGAAGAATTTTTTATTGGAGATACTACTACTAACAGTGAGAATAAGGCTTGATATACTCAGTGATCAAGAAAACACTAAAAGAGAAGATTAGTCAATAAAGCAAAGAAAGATGAATGTTAATCAGCAGACAGTTCTTATCTTATTTATGGCAAGAGTTGATGATGTTAAAGCAAATGATAAAGCATTGCTAAAAAGTAGTGTGTAATGAGCCAGAGAGTAGTGTGTAATGAGCCAGAAAAAACATAGATGTGTAAAATAAGCTTATCTCAAAAACCTTTACCTGAATGCAAAAAATTGGTGTTGTCCGAACTTAGGTTTATATAAATTAAATAGCTGTAAATTTTGCACATATTTATAAGCTTTTTGAGACCAGAAAGTATAGAGCTTAATAGTATAATATAATTTTATATGTTTTTAAATTAAACTATTTTCAAATTTACCTTTGAAAACATTTATAAAGTTTTTGCTTTAACTATGTCCTTAGCAATAAAGTTTTTTGGTTGTTTTTATCTGAAATTATTGGTCATTGGTCAACCAGTTGTTCATTTTAATATTCTACAAGTGCAGTAAAAGGTACCTCTGAAAAAAAAGTTAAAAAAAAAATAGTAACATTCTTTTAATATGCAAAACACCTTACAAATGTTAAAACATCTTCTATCTATCAAATGAATAACCAACTAATAATTTATTTTTTATAAGCATCTATACAATCTCTTTGCAATTGATGGTAATAAGTCATTCTTATATATATATATATATATATATATATATATATATATATATATATATATTATATATATATATATATATATATATATATATATATATATATATATATATATATATATATATATATATATATATATATAACCCTCAGAATTAGGGTTGGCATTTGGCAATGCCGACCTAACTGCCAACCTGATATATATATATATATATATATATATATATATATATATATATATATATATATATATATATATATATATATATATATATAAATATAATATATATATATATATATATATATATATATATATATATATATATATATATATATATATATATATATATATATATATATATATATATATATATATATGTATATATACATATATATATACATATATATATATATATTAGGGTGTCTCAAAAACACCCTAATATATATATTTTTTCGAAAATCAAAATGTGGAAAAGTTCAATCGTTATCATTATATATTAGTAGCTTATAGTGAAAATTTCAGCCTTTCAAATCAACTCTAAGGTAAAGAAGGTGGTTTTAGTCAATTTTTATATAATAAAATATTATATTGGGAATTTAATATTTTGTAATAACTATTTTAATGTTAGGAGAATTTAGCAAACACATTTTTTTATTTATGTAAATGTTTTAATAAAATTATTAATAAAATTGTTTTTTAGTTACTCACACATTTTTATTTATAATGTCTAACAATTATTATTAAAAAACAAAAAATAATATATTTAACAATTTTATTAAGACGTTAAAGAAAAAAAAAGATTTGTTTGCTACTTCTTCTAACATTAAAATTGCGCGCGGACATATGAAAGTTTTACATAATAAGTTTTTATTTCATTAAAGTTTATTTTTCAATTGTTAAGCAACTTTTTTCAAATAATTTCATTAGTGTAGATAATTTTAATAAAAAACAACATGTGTATGCTATGTATGATACGCATTTTTATTTAGTTAAAGTTTTATTTAGTTAAAGTTTTATTTAGTTAAAGTTTTATTTAGTAGTATTATTTGCTGTTACAAAACAAACTACTGTACTGTAAGCTATATTTTATACTATCAATTTATAAATATATATAAATTTATAAACTGTACTGTTAGCTATATTTTCAGACAATGGCTTCAGGAAAAAAATGCCACAATACAATACAGGAGCTAGCTGAAGATTTGAGACGAGCTGTAAGAAAGTGTAGACAGTTTTATTTTTTAGGCTTTCCACTTTTGCAGTGGAAAGCCTAAAAAATAAAACTGTCTACGCTTTGCTCCAAATCGACTTCCAATGACTGGAGAATCGCTCAGAAGGTTCAACATTAGAAAAACTGGCTATTATTACTGGCTCAGCATTAGAAAAAAAACTAGGTAACATCTGAAAAATTACTGAATTTTATCTCTTTATTTGTATTTAACCATTTGACATTTTCTTAGCACTACCAAGATGAACTGTAAAGTTGGATGTGTTCTTGCTTCTGGAAAAAGTTATTTAAAATGCAGCAAGTTAGCTGAAGGAATGTGTGAATTAAATTTGCGACAGACAATCAGAGGTGTTTGCATTTTGAGAGAACTAATAAACTTGTGGGGCAAAGCTGGATTCGACAACAATTTCGTACTCACAGAGCAGCAAATCTGAAACAAAATTACCAACAAAATTAATTAGTACTAATCCCTAAAAAGATTCAAGACTCTAAGTCTACCACAAGGAAGCTACTTCAAGAAAGTAAACTTCATTTCTAAATGAAAGCAACTTTTTATTCCCAATTCATAAGGTTATTTATTCCAAATTCATAAGTCTTTAGCTTAATAAATAGTGATCCAATGAGGAACAAAGAAGCTCTAAAAGAAAACATTGAATTCCTAAAGCACTTTCAAAAGGACTCACGGTCAAAATGGAAGGTATTGATAACACATTTCAAAAAATTGCTTGTTTGGCTGTGGAGAAAATAAGAATAATGGAAGAAAAAATGCGCTCACAAGATGAAAAGCTCAGAAATTAAGAAAAAAAGAATTAAATGAAAGATAGAAGAAACAGAACAAAGAGAGTTTGAAATTTCCTGGTAAACAGACAGTGATTGCCTTCCAGACTCTGACAAAGCTTTTTATGTCTCCTACAAAGTACCCAAAAGATTTCAGGAGAAGTAAAAGTTAGTCTTCAACTTAGTATGGATGAACTCCTAAACAATTGGATCCCAATAATGACAAGATATGGTGTTGGTGTTTGACCAGGAACCTGTTTATTGATATATCTTTATAAAGCTGGCAGTATTAACATTGAGGAGTTAAAGATCTCAAGATCAACTCTGACTAGGTAAGCACACACTGTAGCAGAGTCAGAAGCCCAGATCATCCGAGAGCAGAATATGGACAAAGTAAGAGATTTAAAGCTAGTGATTTACTTTGATACTAAAATTGTAAGGCAGTACACCAGTGTAGAAGCAATTTCCACAAGTCATGAAAGGATAGCTATAAATGTTTCATCTCCTGAAGCTGACCCTTTAGATTTTCTGCTTAGTATTTTGAAAACTAAAAGCTCCGAGGGAAGCGACCAAGCTGTAACCATTCAAAGTATCCTCGAATACTATGAGCTATCTGATCAAAACATTGGTGTGTGTGCTGATACCACAGTTAGCAACACAGGAAAGAATAATGGAGCTATAAGAAATGTTATTGTTCATGCTTTGGGAAGGCCTGTTTTATGGCTAATGTGTAGACATCACATGTATGAGAGACATGTGTCTCATTTCATGAAACTTGTTTTTGGTGCAACAAAAAGTCCCAGCAAACACCTCTATGTTTTACTTCAGAAGCTATGACTGCAAATACATAGAGAAGTTAATAAACTTGAAAGAATTGTCAAATTTGAATGGTCTCAGGATGCATTTAGACCAGGTACTCTTTTGCTTAAACTTGCAGTTGAAACTAAAAAATTTTGCACCACAGCACTTCAGAGAAACACTTTCAAAAAAAAGGAGACTACAAGTATCTTTGCCAGCTACTGGCTTACTTCCTGGGTGCAGATAAACCTAATTTCTTCTTTAAGCAGGTGGTAGCTCATCATAAAGCCAGGTTTATGAGTGACTGTCTTTACCTTCTTTTTCTGCAGATGACATTAAACTGACATTCGAGTGATTCAAAAACAGTAGAGCCTGCTACTCTCAAGAACATAAACACTGCTACAAATTACATTGTGTTTTTCCATGGTCTATTCTTTCTGAAAACTCCTATGGTAACTCAAACTCCTTCAAATGACCTAAGAGCTTTTAAGATAGCTTACCAGCTCCAAATGTTAGATGATTACAATGCCTATGCAGAGATTGGGACAGTTCTCAACAAAAGCTTTCTACGGCACACTTGGTATCTAGCTCCCCAGCTTGTAGTTTTGTCTCTTGCTGACAGGGTTCTAGATGCTGACGTTAAGAACAACATCCTTAACAAATTGCTGTATTTTGCTGTTCCAGAAAAAGAATATATCGTGCTTAAAAAACCTGGAATCCAGGCAGTTGTTATTCCAATCTCTTGATGATTTTGTCACTGAGAAAAGTTATCTTCTCTTTTTCTCCTAGAAATCACTAAAGAAGTGCTTTTGCTGTGGAGGGAGAAGTTAAAGCTTCTTGCAAAAGTGAGAGAGCTCCCAAGTCATTTGTCAAGTTCTCTGCTTGTGCAAATCAGCTTGCAATGGTAAATGATAGGGCAGAATGTCACAAAAAGCTGATCCAAGACTTTATTGGAAGGACACATAATGAGGATAGACTTCAAGATACACTTCAGGTAATTACTAAACATTATTATACAGACCTGTAGCGTATAAATTGTTAGGAGGAGGAGGTCGTTTTTAAAAAATTACGCAATTTAGAAAAGCAAACACATATCATGCTAATTTTTAATAACAAAAAAAGGAAGTCAATTGCACTTAACAATTTACACCTAACAACCCCTTACCCCACCCAATGTACGCGCATGTTATAAAATATTGTCTCAAAAATTTTCAAAATATTTTCATGTCATTTTATTTAATAAACTAAACTATTATTTTCAAGTTTTCTTGCTTGGATTTATTTTAATTATTTTATAAAATAACTTGCTTTTTTAATTTTATTTATTTTCTAGGTTGTCCATAAAAACAGACAGCAAGTATCCAAGAAAGTTGCAAAAAGTACCTGCAGAACATCTAACAAGTATTACAACTCATCACGTTTTTGTTGCTTTTTAACTCTATTTAGAACAATTATCTGAAATTAAATTGTCACACAAGATCTGTATCTTCCTTATTCTATTAGATATATTTTAAATCAAAATCAGCGTTTAGTGAGTGTTTTAAATTTAAAACTATCTATATTCTGAACTTTAAAGTATAATATTCAGGAAAAATTCTATTATATAAAAATTGACTAAAACCACCTTTTTCATCTTAGAGTTGATTTGAAAGGCTGAAATTTTTACTATAAGCTACTAATACATAATGATAACAATTAGACCTTTCCACATTTTGATTTTCGAAAAAAAAAATTTTTTGAGACACTCTAATATCTATATATATATATATTATATATATATATATATATATATATATATATATATATATATATATATATATATATATATATATATATATATATATATATATATATATATATATATATATATATATATATATATATATATATATATATATATATATATATATATATATATATATATATACATATATGTATATATATATATATATATACAAATATAACTGGCAAAAAATTTATACAAATATAACTGGCAAACAACCGTTGACACCCATTTCAAATTCAATGCAAACTTTAATGCAGGTTTTTGCTGAATTTTGTTTGAAAATTCTATGTTTTTTAAACACAGCATAAAGTATTTTTTTAATTAAGTTTTCAATTTTGTTGTCATTTACAGATTTTATGCAAGGTTTGAAAAGAAAATTGAAAGGTCATTTTCAGTTTGATTCCATTCTGAATTTATGATTTCCATTCTGTTAGAGTTATACAGGGTGACCAGAAAGTTCTTGCACTCATTTTTATTAGTTTATTAGACTTAAGAAAATGTATCACTTGTCAATATTTTTGTTTCCGTTTCATTCCTATGTCTATTCTTAATTGTATTCAGGCATTTTTTAAATTTATATCTATTTTATTTTTAGTATGAAAGTCACAATAGACCATCGAGTTTCTATAGAGCATTTGTTCTTTAATGGATGCACAGAAGCAGAAAGACTTAAAATTCCTCAAAGAACTGTCTATAACAATTTAAAACGTTTAAAGGAGACAGGCAGTACCCAAGACAAGCCTAGAAGTGGAAGACCACTGACATCAAGTAGCAAAATTATTATCAAAAAAGTACATATACATGATAGAATTCGTACATGATAGAATTCGTCAAAATCTAAATAGGTCGATGAGAAAAATGGCAAATGATTTGCAAATAGGTTGTGAATCCCTGAGAAAAATATGCAAGGATAAGCTAAAACTATACAAGATCCAAAAAGCTCATCTTCTCACAGACAATATGAAGAAAGTAAGAATGGAAAGATCGAATGTTTTTTTTAGCACACCACTAATGAATTGCTTTCACTGATAAATATTTAATCAATGTTGAAGCTTTCATATTGTATATTGTCCAGAAGTATCAGTGATGCAAACATGAAGGGTAGAATCGCTTCTCGTTCAGGACATCTGCAATCCGTTATGGTTTTTAGGGGGAAAACTTTGGATGGCAAAACTCCGTTAGTTTTTGTGGATTCTGGAGAATAAAATAACCAGTCAAAACTATTTAAATGATGTCCTTATAAAAGAAGTACTTCTATGGTCACAATCATACTTTGGTACAAAGCCCTGGACATTTCAACAGGATTCAGCTCCTTTCCACAAGGCAAAAATCATTCAAGGGTGGTGCAAAAACAATTTTCCAAATTTTCCAGGCCTCCCTACTCGCACCCAAGAATGCCCCTTCCTACTCGCCAGATCTTAACCCGTTGGATTATTCCGTGTGGTCAGTTTTGAAGACCAAGGCATGTTCTGTCCCTCATAGGAATTTGGACTCTTTGCGACGAGCACTTCAGAAGGAATGGAATAATCTTTCTCCAGAATACAACATAAATATAAATAACATAAATAGGCCCTATATAATAACATAAATAGGCTCTAAGTCTCTTTGGGAAATCATTGACTGCGCGCCACAGTCAATGATTTCCCCAAGAGACTTAGGGCCTGTATCAAAGCTAAAAGCGGTTATTTCAAAATCTAATGTTGTAATGTAATTGTTAGTTGTTAGAATAAAGTTTATTTTTAATCTAATTTGTCTTTTATAAATTTAGTCGTTTTTATGGCAATTTTACTATGTGCCAGAACTTTCTGGTCACCCTGTATAATGAAATGTTGAAACTAAATAATTGCTATTATTTTCAGCTTTCAAATAATCAAACTTGATAAAACATTTACAGCCTGACATTTCAGCAAGTACTACTGTTTTAAATTTGCTTTCTAGTATTGTTTTAAAACATTTATTTTAAATTATTTAGGGTAGATGGATTGGGAGGTATATAATTTCTATTAGAAAGAGTTGAACACAATTTTATAAAAGCCTTACCAGCTGAATTCTCAAAAGAATGTCGATCTGTAACAATATTCCTGTATTTAATTGAGATGAGGCAGAGGCTTGTCAAGAAAAATCTGGCATAACACATTATTTCAATTTTTTTTAAACAACTGCTTTACATAACATCTAGTTTCGATAGCTTATGTTTTTTTGTTTGCTTTGCTTCAGCTTGAGTTTGATATGTCCTGTGTTTTCTTTTCAAGTGACTTATAATATGTAATTTTGTGTCAGAGTTTGGCACACGTAAAGTGGCTTTTCATATTTTATATAAATAAAACTAATTGTTTTCTTCAAAGTGCAACTTAATAACTCCTGCCATTGTATAAATAGAACTATAGCAATTTATAGTTTTAATTAAGAGTTTGCAAAAAGAACATTTTCTAATTTAGTTTTCTTATAAATGCAACAAATAAAAATATTTTTTCACTATGTCAAATAACTTTTATAAACCAATTATATAATAAATAAATTTTTCTGCTAAGTTCAAGTTAAGTTCTGTGATGTTAAATATCTTAGTATTATAATTAATTCTATATAAAGCAAATTTGATTTATAAAATAAGTTTTGATATAATTATAAGACATTATTAGTTAATTTTTGTTTTATAAGTTTTTGTCTGGTGATGTATATGTTCATTTATATTGGTGTTTATAAAACAACTTTTTTTTTATTAATTTATTTTTGTTGTTATTATTGTTGTGGGTGTATAGCCTGTCTTACTTATTTTTAAATATTCCTCTATTAATCTTTATTTTTGTCTTGACAGCTGTTAAAATATGCTTTGTCTAATAAATAATTCTCCTTTATTCTAATGTACTTAATTTTCTTTGTTATTAACAAAGAAAAACAATTAATAACTAATATTAAAAATAAGTTAAGATTTGTTTTATTTTCATATCATTGATATTTTGTAGATGTGGATGAGTGTGCCTACTTGTGTAATGGTGATGGTCTTACATGCAAAAACTTTAATGGATCATTCCAGTGTGTTTGCTTTGTTGGATTTTCTTATAATTATACTAGTCTCCAATGTGAAGGTATTTTTTATATATACTTTTGTTTTAATAATTTATATTTTAATAATTTTATTTTAAAAACAACATTATTTAAAAACAATTAAATTTAAAAAAAAGTAAGAATTGTGATGTTAAATATTGTAATATTATTAATAATTTTATACACACTTTATTTTATTTATAAAATAAGTTTTTGACATACTCATAAGACATTATAAGTTAAACAAAGAAAAACAATTAATGATTTACATTTAAAATAGGTTAAGATTTGTTTTATTTTCATATCATTGATAATTTGCAGATCTGGATGAGTGCACCTACTTGTGTAATGGTGATGGTCTTACATGCAAAAACTTTAATGGATCATTCCAGTGTGTTTGCCCTGTTGGATTTTCTTATAATTATACTAGTCTCCAATGTGAAGGTATTTTCTATATATACTTTTATTTTAATAATTTATATTTTAATAATTTTATTTTAAAAACAACATGATTTAAAAACAATTAAATTTTAAAAAAAGTTGGAATTGTGATGTTAAATATCGTAGTATTATGAATAATTTTATACACACTTTATTTTATTTATAAAATAAGTTTTTGACATACTCATTAGACATTATAAGTTAAACAAAGAAAAACAATTAATGATTTGCATTAAAAATAACTTAAGATTTATTTCATTTTCATATCATTGATAATTTGCAGATCTGGATGAGTGCACTTACTTGTGTAATGGTGATGGTCTTACATGCAAAAACTTTAATGGATCATTCCAGTGTGTTTGCCCTGTTGGATTTTCTTATAATTATACTAGTCTCCAATGTGAAGGTATTTTTTATATATACTTTTGTTTTAATAATTTATATTTTAATAATTTTATTTTAAAAACAACATGATTTAAAAACAATTAAATTTTAAAAAAAGTTGGAATTGTGATGTTAAATATCGTAGTATTATGAATAATTTTATACACACTTTATTTTATTTATAAAATAAGTTTTTGACATACTCATTAGACATTATAAGTTAAACAAAGAAAAACAATTAATGATTTGCATTAAAAATAACTTAAGATTTATTTCATTTTCATATCATTGATAATTTGCAGATCTGGATGAGTGCACTTACTTGTGTAATGGTGATGGTCTTACATGCAAAAACTTTAATGGATCATTCCAGTGTGTTTGCCCTGTTGGATTTTCTTATAATTATACTAGTCTCCAATGTGAAGGTATTTTTTATATATACTTTTGTTTTAATAATTTATATTTTAATAATTTTATTTTAAAAACAACATGATTTAAAAACAATTAAATTTAAAAAAAAGTTAGAATTGTGATGTTAAATATTGTAATATTATTAATAATTTTATACACACTTTATTTTATTTATATAATAAGTTTTTGACATACTCATAAGACATTATAAGTTAAACAAAGAAAAACAATTAATGATTTACATTAAAAATAACTTAAGATTTATTTCATTTTCATATCATTGATAATTTGCAGATCTGGATGAGTGCACTTACTTGTGTAATGGTGATGGTCTTACATGCAAAAACTTTAATGGATCATTCCAGTGTGTTTGCCCTGTTGGATTTTCTTATAATTATACTAGTCTCCAATGTGAAGGTATTTTTTATATATACTTTTGTTTTAATAATTTATATTTTAATAATTTTATTTTAAAAACAACATGATTTAAAAACAATTAAATTTAAAAAAAAGTTAGAATTGTGATGTTAAATATTGTAATATTATTAATAATTTTATACACACTTTATTTTATTTATATAATAAGTTTTTGACATACTCATAAGACATTATAAGTTAAACAAAGAAAAACAATTAATGATTTACATTTAAAATAGGTTAAGATTTGTTTTATTTTCATATCATTGATAATTTGCAGATCTGGATGAGTGCACCTACTTGTGTAATGGTGATGGTCTTACATGCAAAAACTTTAATGGATCATTCCAGTGTGTTTGTCCTGTTGGATTTTTTTACAATTATACTAGTCTCCAATGTGAAGGTATTTTCTATATAAACTTTAAGATCATTTTATTTTAAAACAACATTATTTAAAAACAATGACAATAAAAAAAAGTCGGAACTGTAATGTTAAATATTGTAATATTATTAATAATTTTATACACACTTTATTTTATTTATAAAATAAGTTTTGACACACTCACAAGACATTATTAGTTAAACAAAGAAAAACAATTAATGACTAACATTAAAAATATTTTAATTAAGATTTGTTTTATTTTCATATCATTGGTATTTTGTAGATGTGGATGAGTGCACCTACTTGTGTAATGGTGATGGTCTTACATGCAAAAACTTTAATGGATCATTTCAGTGTGTTTGCCCTGTTGGATTTTTTTACAATTATACTAGTCTTCAATGTGAAGGTATTTTCTATATAAAATTTAAGATTATTTTATTTTAAAAACAACATTATTTAGCAACATTTATATTAAAAAAAAGTTGGAACTGTGATGTTAAATATTGTAGTATTATAAATAATTTTATACACACTTTATTTTATTTATAAAACAAGTTTTTGACATACTCATAAGACATTTTTAGTTAAACAAAGAAAAACAATTAATGACTAACATTAAAAATATTTTAATTAAGATTTGTTTCATTTTCATATAATTGATAATTTGCAGATCTGGATGAGTGCACCTACTTGTGTAATGGTGATGGTCTTACATGCAAAAACTTTAATGGATCATTCCAGTGTGTTTGCCCTGTTGGATTTTCTTATAATTATACTAGTCTCCAATGTGAAGGTATTTTTTATATATACTTTTGTTTTAATAATTTATATTTTAATAATTTTATTTTAAAAACAACATGATTTAAAAACAATTAAATTAAAAAAAAAGTTGGAACTGTGATATTAAATATTGTAGTATTATAAATAATTTTATACACACTTTATTTTATTTATAAAATAAGTTTTTGACAAACTCATAAGACATTATTAGTTAAACAAAGTAATACAATTAATGACTAACATTAAAAATAGGTTAAGATTTGTTTTATTTTCACATAATTGGTATTTTGTAGATGTGGATAAGTGCACCTACTTGTGTAATGGTGATGGTCTTACATGCAAAAACTTTAATGGATTATTCCAGTGTGTTTGCCCTGTTGGATTTTTTTACAATTATACGAGTCTCCAATGTGAAGGTATTTTCTGTATAAACTTTAAGATTATTTTAATTTAAAAATAACTTTATTTAAAAACAATAACAATAAATGTATGCGGTAGTGGTGTAGTGGTAGAGCGGTAATCATGCGGTAGTGGTGTAGTGGAAGAGCGCTCGCTTCATAAACGAGTGGTTCCGAGTTCGATCACCACCACGTCCCTGGTAGTACCGCGCTCAACTCATTTTTCCGCGCAGCGGCCTTGTTTGTCAAGGTTCGTGTTTCGGAGTTATAGAGTTGAGAGAGGGTTATAGCCACAAATAAGTAGCCTCCTCGTCTGTAGTGGCCTTCCCGGCCTTGAGGAGGTGAATTAAAATTAAAAAAAAAAAAAAAAAAAAAAAGAAAATTTGTACTGAGATGTTAAATATTGTAGTATTATAAATAATTTTATACACATTTTATTTTATTTATAAAATAAGATTTTGACATACTCATAAGGCATTATTAGTTAAACAAAGAAATGCAATTAATGACTAACATTAAAAATATTTTAATTAAGATTTGTTTTATTTTCATATAATTGGCATTTTGTAGATGTGGATGAGTGCACCTACTTGTGTAATGGTGATGGTCTAATATGTAATAACTTAAATGGATCATTCCAGTGTGTTTGTCCTGTTGGATTTTCTTACAATTATACTAGTCTCCAATGTGAAGGTATTTTCTATATAAACTTTAAGATCATTTTATTTTAAAACAACATTTAAAAACAATAACAATAAAAAAAAGTTGGAACTGTGATGTTAAATATCGTAGTATTATAAATAGTTTTATAGACATTTTATTTTATTTATAAAATAAGTTTTGACATACTCACAAGACATTATTAGTTTAACAAAGAAAAACATTTAATGACTAACATTAAAAATATTTTAATTAAGATTTGTTTTATTTTCATATAATTGGCATTTTGTAGATGTGGATGAGTGCACCTACTTGTGTAATGGTGATGGTCTTATATGCAAAAACTTTAATGGATCATTCCAGTGTGTTTGCCCTGTTGGATTTTCTTACAATTATACTAGTCTCCAATGTGAGTGTATTTTCTATAGATTTTTTGGATAAATTTTTATTCTTTATCTTCTATTTTCTTTATCTTTCTTTATCTTCTTCTTTATTTTTTTCATTTGTAATCTACTTTACTAAAATAATTACTGATTTATGTTTGAAGGTGATAATGAGTGTACAAAGTTGTGTAAAGGAAATTTTACATGCATTTATAAGTATGGATCATTGCAATGTGTTTGTCCAGTTGGGTCTATTTACAACTCTATTAGTTATCAGTGTGAAGGTTTGTATATATCTTTTAAGTTACATTTTAAAAGCTAAAGAAGCAGTGCATAAAAACATTCAAAAATGGAGTATTTAAAAAAAAAAAAGGAGTTTAGTAACATAACAGATGTGGTGGGCTATACAGTGAATGTTTAATAAATGCATCTAATGAAATTGGGGGTTTTGTATTTAATGGTTTTTTAAGGAGGTTTTCGTGTATTATGTAGATTTTTCTTATCCATTATAAAAACTATTAAACATTATTTTAAAAGCAATATTATTTAAAAACAATGAAATTTAAAAAAAAGTTGAAACTGTGATATCCACCACTTTTTGATGCTTTTACAGTTTTTTCCATGTGCTGATTTAGATAGAATATGAAATGTTAAACAAAGAGTTAAAACAAAAACTTACGTTGAATTACAATGGAAATGAAGATGTTAAAAAGAAATTAGTCATAATTAGTAAGTGACCAGAGTTCAAATTTCATCAGGTCCAGCTATTTTATATTTAATATAAAATAACCGGGGCCACAGCTGTTTTTTTTTATTTATACATTCTAAAGTATATGTTTTTTCAAAATTCATGTTATATTTTTCTGTCCTCTGATTTAGAATCTTTATTTTGCTTTAAATCATGTTGATAACATGTTGATTTAGTTGTGCATGATGATGGTGATGATAATGGTAGTGATGATGATGATGATCATCATCATCATCATTTTCATCACCATCATCAAGCTTTAGCCTTAGCCTTTTTTGCTAATATAAAAAATCTAGAGCATTTTTTTACCTTAACTAAAGTTTGTTAATACCATATGAATTCCTTCAGGTTTTCTTACTTCTACCTTTTACATTTTCTCCTGCAGCTGCTACCTCTCTACATGTTGATATCTAAATCAGCATGTAGATAGGTAGCAAAATTCTCAGACAAATGTTGTTTGATGCAATGTTTTTTCTTTTCTCTGTCTAAGAATATGGCTCCTTTTCTTATCTTTTAATAACCATACCATATATACATTTTATCATCATCTTCTCTTTCGGCAACTACTACACTATATAAATACTAAAGTTTATACAATATATGTGAAGGTATTTTATGCCAACATTTAAATAAATAGTAAACATATATGTTTATATCCATATATATCCATACTATGAATGCATAAATATGCCTCTTACATAACCTTCTGGATCCAGGCTTTTAATCTTTTTCTTTGATTTTAAATCAAGCCTCGTTCTACTCCACCTTTTTCACTTTTTTTTCTTGTGGATTTGCTATATTAAACCATTACCATTTTTTTTAAATCTCTTTTACAAGTACATCTGTATTGAGTTTTATAATTGCAAGAAGTTAATGTAAAAAGGTCCTGTCTGATGCCAAGCTCCGTTATTCTCAACTTACTAAATCTTGTATTTTATCTCACTGTTAAAGATTTTACAATGACTTTTGGATAATCTTTAACATAACATTCTGGCTTCCAATGCCAAAGTTAATTCTTAATTTTAATTTTCTACGGTTTGTGGTTCAGACAACATGTCCATTATAGCCTTACAAAAGTGTTCTCCAGAATTCATATAAAGTCTCAATATTTAAAAACTCTAGAAAATACTCTGACCTCTTCAACTATTCTATGATTAGTCTTCTCTCAAGTTTCTTCATATAAAAGTTTTAAGAATATTAAATCATTTCTTTCTGAAAGGCCTACACTCTTCTTCATTTCCAGTAATTTTAGAAGTACTGCTAGGTTTTATTTTTGCTCCTGTATTGTTTCTTATCTACAATTATAATCTTTTTTTTTCCTAAAAATACTATTATTCTAATGTTAAAACATGTTAAAACATATATCAAGTTTTTATAGCTTTACTTTTACTTGAAAATGCAACATTTTGATTTATAGAATTTATTTACTGTGTATAAGTTTTTTGTTTTTTAAATAGCATTAAAACCTTAAACAATCAATACACGTTAGTGGCTGAAGTGGTTAACTCATAGAGTTTCTGAAGCAAAGCGCCCATGTTCAAATTCTACCTTGGCTATTTTGCTATATTTATTTTTTGCTATATTTATTTATTGCAATATATATATATGCCCAGATTGAAAAAATTGAAAATATATTGTATTAAGGGGCGAATTTGACTCTTCAATAATTAATTTATGCATGTAATTAAAAAAACAATCATTTTACAAACTCATAGCAATTGCAATTAAACAACACTTTTCAAGCAGGTTCTCGAAATAAGCACAGCTTTATTGCATAGCATCTAATATAACATAATATAACAATAAACAAATATGTTTTATGCAAATATAAAAAATCCATTTATATAATATTTTATTCAGGAACATGAATAATATAAGAAAACTTTTTTAATAGTTGCAAGTCTTTTTTGCTTAAACTGTTTTGTTTTGAATTTTCGTATTTATGTTATTCTATTTAAAAAAATTAACAAAGTGCAAAACATATTTTCTTATCCAAGTGGAAAATTTAAAACTTTGATTTTAGATTTGCCCCTCTCTTTATAATTTCTGATTTTTAAAATTACATCATCTTCTTAGTTCTACCATTTGTATAGCATTATGTACAAACATCTGTAGGTGTAAATATCTTTAGCATATTTTGAATTTGTGGTATATGGAACAATTGCGTATATCATATGTATAACATGAGAAAACTTTAAAATATTTATTTTAACATTTAGAATTTTTTTGCTATGTAAATATTTTTTTGCTATAAATATATAGGCAAGAAAAACATTCAAAATTTATTATGCTAAGAGGAGGTCTTGAACTCCTGAAACAACACCGATGACAATGCACTAAACCACTGAGGTATCAATGATATGTGTTTAGATGAAAAATAAACTTAATTATAAATATCTTATAAGCTCTACGTATGCTGAGATGGTGCGCATGTAATTTTTTTTGCTTCAATTTTTTCATAATTAATTATTTTACTAAAAAATATTTAAGTGAATAAGGACTAGATACAGAAATGATTGGTGTGGAATAGATAAGTAAGAAATGATTGGTGTGGAATAGATAAGTAAGAAATGATTGGTGTGGAATAGATAAGTAAGAAATGATTGGTGTGGAATAGATAAGTAAGAAATGATTGGTGTGGAATAGATAAGTAAGAAATGGTCAGTTAGATAAAGATACATACTTTACCGGTCCAGAAAGCCTGGATATATATATATATATATATATAAGGAAAAAGTATTGAAAAGGTTGGTGTGGAATAGACTTACAAATACTCATATTTTTACAGGTACGGTTAGCTAGTTTTGATATTATTTTATATAGTTTTAAATTATCATAAATATTTATTACAAAGTACAAGTTTGAACTCGTTTGAGTGAATACAATTGTGTCAAGTTGAAGACCATGTTTAACATTTATTTGTATTTCACAGTTTAGGTTAAATAGAGAAAAGTTCAAACAGAACTAAACATTTTTTTTTTGTCTTTTTGACTATAGACTCCCCCCTCCCTTCCTAGTGCCTTGGTAAGACGAATAAAATAAATAAATAAATCAATTTTCAATGAAAAGTATCCTTTCCATTAATAAACATCAAGATGTTGATTAATGGGAAGGATACCATGGTAGCTTTATGAGGATTAATGCCAGCTGCTTTTAGAAGGTATTTCTAGTGGAATTGGTGGTGGAGGTAAGGACAACTTGTAGTTTAAGTGACTAAATCAAAAAGTGTGTTAAGTAGATATAAGCATACGTTAAGAACATCCACTAAAATTGCTTAAAAAAATATTTGTTAGAGGCAATTTTGTTATATAGGCTAAACCATCGTTTGTCAAATTTGAAGCTTGAATTGAGGTTGATGCCAAGGTATTTGTATGAGCTTACAACTTTAAGAATCTATCTTTTTAATGTTATAACTAGCTTTGCAGTATGACCAACTTTGCATTTAATTATGTCAAGAAATATTTTATTACCATTGCATCATCATTGAGTTTTTACCCTGTATCTAAGTTAGGATATCATCGACATATTTCTTGTGTGAAATGCTTATTGGGAGGTAGTCGTTTATGTCTAATACAAAAATTAAGAAGAAGATTGGGCTAAGAATGCTTCCTTGTATTACTCCTGATAGCACATCTTTCCATTTAGTTCCACCATGTTGAATATGACTTGTTGTTTACAGTTTGAAAACTTTGCAATCTAAAATGACAACCATGACAGTAGATTGATCTCAAAATTGTGAAGAATATAGTTGACGAGGTTAAATACTTTCACAAAATTAATAAGTATAGCAATTATTAAAGTATTTTAATTTTAGCATTTATTACTTGTATGATAGCATCAATTATACTTCTTCCAGAAAAGAAAACCATATTGTCTATTTGATAATAATTTACTTGTACATAAGATATAAAATTTTTTGCAAAGATATGTTAAACTAATTTGCCTGTTGTGAATGTTATAGTAATTTGTTGGTAATAAGTTGGTAGAGAAAGTTTATTGACTTTTGGAATGGGTATGATGTTTGCATAAAGCAACTCATATTACATACATACATTTGTTTACAGAATGGTTAAAAAATGTAACTAGAGTTTTAACTAGTTCAAAGCAATTTACCAGATATGTGGTCTGCTAATGTCAATTGTATGCATTTGAGTTGTTCACTGACATTAGAAAAGTAAAGATGGGCCACTTTGGTGGAGAAGAGATTAGCTTGAAATATGGTGATTACAATCTGGTTTATTCCTTGACAAGCTATATCTGACAATTGCACATTTAGTTTTGTAGCAAGTTCAGTATCTGTTGGTAAGCAGAGGTTTGGGGCCAATAGTTATCATGCATACACATATGTTCTTAATATTGTCATATTTTTATTTGATTCTGATTTTTTTCCAGATGGCATTAAGTTGAGCAATAGTATCAGACGAGGTGTTAGGTTGGTTGTAAAAGATTTGTATAAAGATTGGCATTGTAGAATATGCATTGTAAAATATTTGCATTCATCCATTTAGGTCACTCCAAACTTTAATAGCATGCACA